CTTAATAACTACTGTATCACATTGAGGTTACGATGTTAAGAGCTTTTCTATTGATCATTATGAAAACCTGTTTCCTTTCTGAGGTTTTCCTTCATCATTCATTAGTAAAAAAATTAATAACAACCAATGTTTATTAACCCAACATGACTCTTCCCCTTCAATTATTGTTTCCTTTTTGTGATGATCAAGAAGACTTTCCGATGATCTACTCTAAGATACCCCCCCCCCGCAAGAAAGTGTAGCTGGACGGTAGGTGGTTCTTTTATTCCAGACATTGCCCTCTTGTCTTTTTCAACAAGAGAAAAATGGTGGCAACAAATATGCTGATCAGACAAGATCCATGTAACACAAGCAATTGCATATTTTACAGATTGCATTTTTTTTCAACTTGTCAAGAAATCTACACTAGTTTGTTTGTAACTTATACAGTTTTTTCTGCTAAACTAATTTGTAGAGCATATTTTGTAATTGTTTCTCACTCTGCAGCAATGTGTCTCCCTATTACTTAGATCTTATCTCACACTCGGGCAGTGTTTCATAGTTTTCCTATGTTCATCATGATCAACTACTTTTACATGTCAACTGGTTTCTCCTTTGTCCACATTTGCCTGGTGTAGGGGAGGGATGTTATCAATGATTTTGTCATTTACTTGTGCCACACTGTCCAAATAGTTTGGATTCAATCAGCCATTCACCCTTACATATGCTAGGGTTATTGTAGCCATATTGTTAAGGGCTCCCTCAGATTTGTTAGTTCTCTGTTTTTTTTTGGTGGGGGGTACTGTTTATATACTTTATATTGTAGAATAGATTATGATGATGAAAATGATGGCATGAGTTTTCTGAACAAGTTTTGTAATAATAATAATGTTGACTTCTCAGGATTACTAAAGTGTATAGTTGTTCTTGTTGAGAGAATTGAACTTGTTTTTTAATGGGATTTATTTCTAAAATGCTATTTTCCAATTTGATTATTTTTAAGCAGGTATTTTTGTTGACTACTTTACGTGCAGAATTTTATTCTTGATGTCTTTGCATGAGTGAATGAAAATAATTGTGTTTTGAACTAAAAAAAAAAAAATCAAATTTTGAGTTTTTGTTTGTTTTTTTTTTTTTCCTTAAAGCAGATTATGAATTACGATGTTGTCAAAGAGAATTCTTTTAAAATCTTTCATTAGCATTTAGAAAAGAAAATATTTCAAAAAATAAAATATTTTGCTTCTCTAATTAGCAGTTCTTTCTTTAAAGTTTTTTTAATATTTGCGGACAAAACAATTTTTAAATTTGATCTTAAAAAAATGTTTAAAAAATTAAAAAAGAAAAGAAAAAACTCTAAACCAGGGTAGAGTTGCCTAAAAAGAAAAAAAAAAATCTTCTTTTCCTTCCACCACATCCAAAAAGAACCAAAATATTTTAGTAAACATTTTTGTGTATATTAATAACTAACACTATTATAAACTTGTATGTTTTTTGCTATCTTAAAAATAACTCCAATATTAAAAGATCAACAAGATTCAGTGAATATGGATAAGCACAAGTCACATTGAATTTCATGTCATGACTATTTGTCAGCTTTTAAATCATTTCTGTTTGATAGTAATTTTTGCAAAAATACAGAGGCAAAAATTTTGCCAAAAAGTTGATGAAAAAAATGATGTTGCTAAAAATCTTGTGTGTGTGTCTGGCTAAAAACTGAAATCTCTTATCTAAAAATCTTTCCGATCAAGGGATCTTTGATGAAATCCTTGAGAAACTGAACTTTTTTCAATCTTTTTCAATTTTTTATTTTTGTAATTTTTTATTCACAAGATGAAATTTATTTTTTGATTGAATAGAGTTTTTGTTGTCTCTTCTCCATTTGCATTTTATGCAAGAAACAGTTTTTGGTGAGATTTCCAAGATCAAAAAAATAAAATTAAAAAAATAAATGTTAAACAGGTACATTTTTTTTTATTATCCATGAAAATGTTTTAAACTTTTTAATTCTATTTGCGCAGAAACCTTTTTTCTTTTTCCCATGACAATATCAATTATTTTTTGTATTATTTTTATTTTTTTTCTGTAATTTTATTTTATTTTTTTCCATTCAGGCAAGCACAATGGCTCACATGCAGCTTGAAGTAGAGAAACAAATGAAGAAAAAGTCACCAATTGCTGAAATGGTAAATGTTTCAAATCTCACAGCTGCACATTTCCTTTGCAAAAAAATAGATATGCTGCAATGATTTTTTTTCCCTCCCACAACATTATTTTATCTTAAGGAATTCATTCCTTCTTCACCAAAGCTGAATTTTCTTTTGTTCGATCTCTTTTTACTTTGTCATTAAAATTAAATTTAATGCTTTTTGTGTATGTAATATTTCCTTTATTCATATTTACTTCTACTTTTGTCTCAGTTTCTTTTTTAACTCCATTTTTGTTGACTGATGTTTTCTTCTGTCTTATGAAAAAACGTCTTCATTTAATTTTATTTCTGTAAAAAAAAAAAAAAAACTTAAAATAAAAATGTTTTCTTTCCAGGACACAGTGTTTAAAAACTGTCCAAAGGTTCTACATATCTGAGTGCTTTCAGCTATTTTTATTTTTTAGCATTATGTGGGTTTTTTTTATGTATGTGTCAAAAGTTATAGGAATATTTTATTTTCCGAACATGGTCAGTACATTGTGACTGTGTTCATAGTTAATGTTATTAATTAATGTTTTGATAATTGTTAAAACAATAGCCAAATGCACTTGGATATGCCCAACTTTTGAACAGTTTTTACACACTTTGTTTCAAGAAAAGGAAACACTTGTACAAACACAACAAAAATTAAATAAAAATCTTAATCACAGTACTTTGTCAGTTGTCTTTAATGAAACTTGTAGAAAAAGAGATCGCTACAAAAAAAGCCTACACACACACACACACACACACACACACACACACACACACATATATATATATATATATATATATATATATATATATATATATATATATATAATCCAAAATCACCATATATAAAAAGATTATTTTTTAAATATCAATCTTTATGCAGACTTTGATGTTTCCTAATAAAATTTCCATTCTTCAGGGTTAGGGGTTTTGAAGAGATTTTTTTTTTTTTTCACTTTTAAAAAAAATTAAAAATACCATTCAAAACCACTAATGGAAATTTTACTTAGAAATATCGATGTTGTGATAAAAATTGATATTTAAAAAGTTAAGTAATCTTTTCATATATATATAAGTTTACTTAACTTTATGAAAAGATTACTATCAAAATTTGATCCAAGATTAAAGAAGTCCATTTCATTTGGAGTGAATGAAACGGAATTCCTTAATCTTGGACCAAATTTTCATGTCACACAGAAACCTAATTTAATGTTTAAACAAACGCAAATTGAATCTTTATACCAACAAATATGTCTATCGGAACAAGACAACCATATTACTGCATAGGTAGGTTTAAAAGAATTACTTAAAGCTGAATCTATTAAATACCATTATCATAAAAATCCAAATGGAATTATAAACACTCCTTTAATAAAAGCAGCCACACAACTAAAAAATAATAACAGCATTGTTATCTGACAAGCTGATAAATCTAATACTTTTATTATTTTAAACAAACATGAATAACACTCAAAATTACAGACCATTTTGGTCATTCATAATAAATTTAAAAACCATATCAATAAACTTATTACTGCTAACAATGCTGAAACTGGATCTTATAAATTTCAAAAGGTAGAAATGTTAAACACATTAATAATAAACAAGTTAAGCTCATCATATATTATAAAAAAAAAATTAAAACAATTGACCTTCATAGTCTCTAATAAACCTACAACCACACAACTAAATCCTCTACAAAAAAAAAATGTGGTGTATCAATTTACATGCCTGTTAAGAGATTGTATCTCTGATAAACCCACTACATATATTGGTTTTACTACAATCACACTCTCTTGTAGACTTACCTGTCACCTTTCTGGTCTTAGTTCTATTAAACAACATTTCTTAGAAAAACATAACCATGTACATAATATTAGACATATATTAGTTGATAACACAACAATTCTCACACATGCACACAGTAAAAAAAAAACCTTCAGATACTGGAAGCCATTTACATTAAAACAAAGCAACTTGCACTCAACAAAATTACATTTCAAACTTGTCACAACACAATACATTACATCTACACATGGTCCTGTTAATATTTTGGTTTCTCACATGGTACGATGTCATAGAACCGCATCATGAATTTACGACCTGTGTCTGCTATTCTGCGGCTGTTATCATTACATAGCAATCTTTTATCTCAACATAACAGAATCACATCTTTGATGGTGAATGTCTTTGTTTAAATGTCCATATAACCACTCTGAAGATGGCTCATGTGAACTGAAAGCTTAGATCAAGAAACAGCATTAAAAAAATATCCAAATGTTGGACAATTTTTTGTCTTTATTTTCACCCAAAATTAAAGCAACCATGCAGAGTTTAGAACAGCTCCTGATCAAACGATATAGACATTCATTGTCTATTATATTTAACAATATGTGTTTAAATAATAATATATATATATATATAATTTGCTGCTCTTATTTGATGAAAAATACTTTAATAAAAATGAAAACCCTTTCATAATCTTTTTACAGCTGCTTGCTTACATTATCAGCCATGTTTTAAAGCCACAAAATGGTGACTAAACTATCTCATTGATGGGAGCAAAACTTTGTTTTTCTTTTGCTATTTACTTTAGGATCAGAAATTTTCATTGCATTTTTACCCAAGTTTTTAGTTTTGTAACATTGGCTAAACACTTTGAAATAATTTTTACAGGTTGGGATTCCTGGCTTTGGTGATGGGCGTCAGAAGAGACTACACCGAAAACTGTTGTTGGATATGAATGTGGCTCAGTTACAAGTCATAGTCAATGATCTTCTTTCACAGATCAAAAGTAAGTCTTTTTGGATTGTGAATCAGATTAAAAACATTTCTCAAAACCAATTGTTCCCCTCACCTTCGCAATTTGACTAAATTGCAACATGAGGCTGAGGAGCCAACTTGTAGCCAATATAAAAAAAAAAAAAAACAATTTTATTGTTTCCATTGTCTTTGACCTCCAATCCTTAAGAATCATTTTGAATTTCAACTGTTCCAATTTTATGCCTTTATTTTCATTTTTGGGCTTTGATTAATGCTTCACATTTCTCTGAATATATCTACAGGCCTTAATGAAGATTTGGTTCACATGTTATTGGACAGGGATGATCTACACATGGAACAAGATTCTATGCTGGTAGATATTGAAGATCTCACCAGGTAAATCCATTTTTTAAACTATTCAAGGAAAACTGGTTGGCTATATGTGTAAGTGTTGTAGTATCCTCCCTCTAAAGAGTCTATGTTGGACTCTTCCACCTACTATAAGATTAGTAGGAAAGAAGGCCTTGCGGGAACAGTCAAATGAATTGAATGCTGGGTCAACCGACACACACTAGTTGTGTAATACACTTCTGTTGTACTTACTGTTTATTATATGATACATCTGCAACACTTGTTTTATTATTTCTTTAACCATTTACTTGGTCACAACAGTAAGCATTTACAATTTTTTTTTTTTTTTTTTTTTTTTAATTTGAAAATGTATTTAATTGTTTATATGTAAGTGATAATCCCACTTGAATGCTTTTATCACTGAACAAATTAATAATCTTAAGATGTGTTATGTCAGAAAAGCTTCTTCTTAAAAAAAAAAAAATTATATCAGAAAAGTATTAGAGAAAATAATACAATACAGCCAAGGTGTGTGTATATTTTAGTTATAAACAGTGTATATTGTTAGTTGAGTGGAGTTATCTCCCCGTGATATGAAAATGCTATAAATAAGATTACCAAAAGGGAATGAGAGAAAACCTTGTCGAATCAGAAACATTAACAATTGATAGCAGAGCATAATTGTTCTAAGTTAGCTACCTCATTTAAAGATTCATTAAAAAATGAACATACATGATGAAAAAATGCCCCAAAATTAAAAACAAGGTTTTATTGTCAAAATCTTTATTATTAAGAGGAAAGACCAAAGGATTTTTTGATTATTAAATTATATTTTTTAATCCTTTTTAGAACCTTCAAAATTTCGGATAAAATTTTTTTTCTTATATCAATGAGTGGCCATAAATTAAGAAATTTTAACTTTTTTTACAGTAAAAAACACAATAATTTGTAAATTCTTACAAAAATCCAATAATTATCTGATTTTAATGAAACTATCAGGATTTATTCATGAATGAATTAAATTATTTTAGAAATGTTTCTTAGAAAATCTTAGTAAATTTTTTTTTTTTTTTTTTTTTTACAACCATTACCTCTCCTCCCTCTTATTTAATTTTATGCAATTTTGAGAAATTCTTTTTTGTGCTGCTTGATGTTTATATTAACTTCTAATTAGAAGTTCCTAAAGAATTTAAATCATCAATTTCTTTTTGTGAACCAGGATACCTGGTTACCAAAAATGTGCTCTGAATTGTAAAATAAAAATATGCAATAAAACTAAGACTTTAATTAAAAAGCTTTATTTTTTCACTTTAAAAAAAAAATAAAAAATACCATTCAAAACTACTAACCCTGAAGAATGGAAATTTTACTAAAAAAAAATATTGATGTTGGGATAAAATTGATATTTAAAAGTTAAGTAATCTTTTCATTCATATATATATATATATATATATATATATATATATATATATATATATATATTTATAGCTTTTAATTACTTTTAAGATTATGGACATTATTATCTGAAGAAAAATCTTTTTCTCTATGAATAATGAATTTTTACAAGAATTGTTTTCATTTTTATAGTTTTAAATCTTTTAAAAATTATGTATTAATTTGGGTCGGTTATGTGGTGTTAAGTAAAACTATTTTTACTAATCATAAATGAAAAAGTTACTACAATTCAGCTCCTAACCGCAGTATTTTAAAGTTGTTTTTTTTTAATGTGTGTGTATGAATGTGTTTGTTTTTTTTGTTTTGTTTTTTAATATGGACATCCATACATAACATTATCAGAAAATAAAAGCAGTAACTATAGTAAATTTAAAGCCAAAGTACCTTAAATTCAGTAAAACATTAGATTACTGTAATATTTTCCAAATTTTAAAGAATACTGGGGAGTTAAAAATTATATAAAAATGGTGCTCATGTTATATGGTCAAGTAATTATTACAGATATATACCATATAGAAAAAAATAGTTAAATTTCCAGCTGTCAATAAAACTTTCAACACAATATAAAAACACCTATCTCCATACTGAAAATGTATTTCTATGATATTTTAAACTAAAAGTAATATTTGTTTCAAATCAGATTAATTAAACTTAAAAAAAAAAAAAAATCAGCTAATATTCCTCAGATAAAATTTCAGAAAAGTGTATTTTATTTTTGAAAAATAAAGAAAATTAATTGTTTTAAAATACAAGTATTTTGCTTACTGGAAATATTAAATTTAATTTGTTAGCTTGAAATTAAAACTAAAAAGATTCAAAGATTTTTTAAATCTTTTTAAAATTCATTTTAAACCTTAGGTATCGTGTTTCTTTGGAGGTGCCTACTCGAAACTAAAGCCCTATGTACAATGGAAGTGAAAAAAAACCAAACAAATGTGGATTACTGTATGCAATTTAAATCCATGTGCTCTGAATTGAATGTTTTCATTTTTCAAACAAGTCAAACATGTTACTTAATATTTGAACATTGTTTCATGGTACCACAAAGCAGAGAATGAGCTTCAAATTTCAAAGGTAATACAGCTTTGTACTTTGAATAAGAATATGGAGGTTCATGAATGGAATATAGAAAAGGAAGACAAGTGATTGATTTTGGCAGAGATGTTGAGGAATGGAGAGAATTTAATGAGGATATCAACTTAAATCCAGAATCATCTCAATCAGATGATACTACTACAGAAACTCAAATAACAGAAATATTCCAAACTGAAGCATTGCAAGGCACCCTCCAAACCAAACATAAGAATTATAAAGTTGGAAGAAAAATGATGTTTCTGATGAAATTGAAAATAATGGACTATATTGCGTATCTGTTAGATGGATTCTAACACCAAGACTTATTGATGGAAAATTGCAAACAAAAACTAGGCTATATGCTTAAAGGATTTCAAGAGGCTAGTGTATTTAGGGCAGATAGTCCTATATGCATACAGGGAAAGTATACGAAATTGCTTTGTGTTTTATTGCCTCAAATTTATGGATCTTTCATTCTGTCAATTATAAAAATAGTTTTCCTAAAAGGAAGTCTAATTGATAGAAACATTTCTCTCCAGCCACCACGTAAATGTAAAACTAATCAAATTTGGAAACTTGAAAAGATTATATATGGATTAGCAGATACACCTAGAGTTTGATTTCTATGACTCAAAGAAGAGATGATTAATCTTGGTAGAAAGATAAATACATATGATTCACGTATTTTCTTCTGGCATTCTACAGATTGCCTTGGGGATATTCTGATATGTTGACTATCAACTGTTGGGTTGAACTAAAGATTTTGAATTGTGTGTGCGATGAAAAAATTGAGGAGTACATTTGACATAAGTTGGGAACATACATCAGCATTCAAGTATATAGGCACTGAACTTAATCAGAAACCTGATTTCTCCATCTGTATCAATCAGGAAAATTAAAAAAAATGAATTGAGCCTATTAGCGTGGGTGGGTATCAGCAACTTTAAAAAAATAAAGCTAAACTGAGGTACCTCGTGGAAAAACTGAATTGGATTTTGCTGGTATGACATAGGTTTTGCTGTTTGCCAGTTCAGCTCAGCAATCACAAATGCTAAAGTTAGCCACATGTAAATAAAGCAAATAAGATCTTAAGGCATGTAAAAAAAAACAAAAAAACACACCTATTGCCATCCAATTTGTAAGATTTAAAAATCTTAACATATACTGATGCAATTGTTCTAATCTTCCAGATGGGGGTAGTCGAGGAGGACAATTTGTTTTTCTTACTGATGAAAAAAGTGACAGCCTGTCTGCTGATGTGGAAATCCACAAGATGACAAGAGTGGTCAAATCTACATTAGCAGCAAACTCTTTATCATTCATTAAAGGATGTTGTGATATATATCAATTGTTTATGGCTAAAATAATTGCAGAAATTTGTCTCCAATAACAGGAATACTACCTTACTTGTCCACTATAAAGTAGACAATAGAAGTTTGTGTGAAGCAGTGAAGACAATAAAAAGAATTAGTGACATTAGACTACAAGATGGAAATGTTGATTGTTCAGAGAAATGAATGAAAAAGAGAAAGTAATACTCTTATTGGTACAAAGTAGTGAACAGTTGGTAGATGCACTCACAAAGGATGGTTCATTGAGTACAAATCTTTTAAAAGGTGCTTCAAGAAGCACACATGAAAAACAAAAAAAATAACACTAAGAAAATTAAAGCCTTTGTTGAGTTCAATTTGTTGATCTATATTTGTTTACAGATTACAACATCTATCAAAGATGAAATTTAATTTTTATTATTACATTATGCCAAAATTTTAACGCATCAGCAGATAGCTATTAATGTCAAAAACTGAGAACAAATAGTTATTAATTAAAAAAATTATTAATTAATGTATAATTTTAAATTTATTAATAAAATCAGAAGAGTTAGAATCACTTTTGTATCCAAATTTTTTTAAGAATCTTTGTGTCGTTCTTAAGTTTGCTTTAAAATCTTTTGATAATTTTCATCAAAATTAAGATAGCCATGACTTAGAAGAAAAAACATAATGTCCTTCACCACATTATCTCTACCAAAGGAGCATATTTCAAATATTGCATCATGTTCTTTTAATATCAGGCCTTTTCCATGGGATGCTAACAGATATTAATATATAAAAAATCCATATACAGCTATTTGTACTATGTTATAATGCTTATTACCTAAACAACAATAATAATACTGAATAAATCTTTTTTTTTTTTTAAACATTAAAGTATATTTAATCACATCTCCCTAATAGCTGTTATGATCTGTTAATTAACAAAGAAAAAAGAGGGAGATTGTCAGGGTGAGTGTAGTTACTTCCCTTGATATGAAGATGTTATAAATGAGATTACCCAAGGAAATTAGAGAAAACATTATTGAATCAGAGACATAGACGAAGAGCGAAAGTTGCTGCAGGATTAACTAACATATTCTAGTCATAAAAGCATATATTCTAGTCCTCAATGACTACAAGGACTAGTACATTGTTACCACTTTTTCAATTTGGAAAAAACTAATCAAAGTTGTCACTAATCTTGCCTCGTGTGAATCTGGACACTGTTCTACTTTAAATATTTCAAATGATCCACCAACTTATTGTCACTACTATTTTTGATGATATTAACAATTATGAACATACAATGGAAACCTTTGCTCAAGCTTTTTACTGACCGTGACCAATGATTTCTGCTTTGCCTGCTGGGTGGGGATAGATGGTTGACATTTGGAAGAATCTCTGCTATATCAATCTCAGATCTGCCCTACCAATTCCTTGCACATTCCACAACCCGATGTGTGGTCTTGCAATACAAATGGATGGCATATAAACCATGTGTCAGACAAGTCCATTTCCTGCCAAGGGCAAACCAGAACTGACTCTCCAATCCCAAGCTTAACAATATAGGCCAGCACCCAGATACACTTTATTTCTTATTTTGTTGTTGCTTGGTCTTCAAAAAACCCCCATCCACTCCTTTATTTCCCTTGTTTCCGTTGGTCAAAGTGGATACTGCTTAGAAAACCAGACTTGAAAAAGAACCTACAAAACTGGCTATTGCTAAAATATTCCACACATCAAATCCACTATATATGTTCCAGTAATTCCATAATTACGAATTCTTTCACAAGAAACACTTTAAATCTGTAGTACTCAGTACCTCCAGTAATCTATTATCACCAATTTTTTGCATCTAATATTCCCATGTCCCACTGGATAAATCTTCCAGTAATCCATTATTACTAATTTTTTCTGCTTCTCAAAAGCACTTTTACTTTCCTTTTACTTTTTCCAGGGATATTAATACCTAGATTTCTGTGTGCTGAACTCACTTGCCTGTTAATATTGCTAAATGTCAACATTAAAATCATCCTAGGTTACAGCACCAATTGTAAGCATACAACATCGACCATGCCCAGCTTTCCAACACTTGGCCAATGATCTCTCTCACGTTACATGCCATTCTAGTCCACATTGGTGTACACCAAAAACTGGGAAAGGGCCTACTGCATGCTCACAAGGTAATGGAGATGAAAAACGCCATGTTAAGAAATTAGAACACAAACCTTTTTTCCATGTGGTGAGAAGCAAGTCAGCCAGAGTGGCTTGCATCTGGTGTATAGGAAAATAAGGGTCTTACCTTAATGTGCGGCACATGACATCAGCAAGTTTGCTTCGTGAAAATGGCATTACTCTCCAGTCCAGCCATTCTAGCAGTATGTGCAATGATGAGGGTTTTTTGTACAGTTTGGCATGCTTCCACCAATAGCAAGTCGTGTGCTGATTGGTTGAACTGGAGGAGGCAATTTGCCTGTGTAACCGAGAATAAAAGTGAAGAACGCTGATTGGCTGGTGAACCGTGGTGTTGGCCTGATAAAAGAGTGCTGGAGCAGTGAAAAGGAGGGGGAGAAACGACGGCTATACGTAGTGACGTGTGAAAAAAGCGAGGACAGTGAACTGAACCAGTGATATTTTGATTTGTACAAGTGACGTTGCAGCAATACAGACTTATTTAAACTACATTCCAATATTCAGGTGTTGTCTTCCGGGCTTTGTCTGAGTGTGTAGGTAAATGTGACGGTACAACTTTTGGCAAAATAAATGGGTGGCATCAGAACTGCACAACAGACAAACCCATCTCCTGCCAAGGGTGAACCAGAACTCACTCCCAGATTCCAAAAATGACTACTACTATAGATCCACCCCCAGAAATAACCAATGTCCAGTTTGTTGTTATTGGGTTTCCAAAAAACGCCTCATTCACTCCTTTACTTTGCTGTTCTCCTTGGTCAAAGTGGATGCCACTTAGAAGATGAGACTTTGAAAAGAACCATCTACTGGTTACAAAACAGAAACACTTGAGATCAAGATCATATCTTCCTCTTCTCTATTGGGTCTTTTCCAGAGTGTCAAAGTGAATTTAACTTGTATTTGTTTTTTTTATATTTATTATATTCTGATCTCCAAAGTTGTCAGGTTTATCCCTGCATAAAGTCATAGAATTGACTTTAGCTTTGATTGCATTAAAACTGAACATTTTTGTTCCAGAAATCTAACCAAACTCAATTTTCTTTTTTTTTTTTTGTAGGCGAGCACAGGATTTTGCAAAGAAAATCAATTCTAAACAAAAAGACAAAAAGTAACAACAAAGTTTTGTGGACCAGTTTCTGCGAAAGACAGCAGCTCTAACCAGTTGTAATAATGATGATGATGATGATTATTTTAATCCACTGTGTGGATTGACTTGAAGTGTTCTCTCTCTCTCTCTATGTTGTCTGAATCTCTTGGTAGCATTTGGCATTGTTTTTGTCCCCTTCTAATACTGAGTAGTAGTAATCGGTTGAGAGATTTTATAGCAAGGCCACCTTCATTCCTTAAAGCATTTTTTTGTATGCATACTAAAAATAAATCTAAAGAACTGTTCCTGTTAGAATTCATTTCTTTTACATTTAGGCCAATTCTATGCAGACAGTTTAAATTGGAATTAAGAAATTTATATATAAAGACAGTTTCTGAATTGGAAAGTCGGAAACCTATTTGGAAACACCTTCCTTCACCGCACACCCATTTTAGTTTATCTATCATTGTTATTTCAGTTACATTAATTTTTTTAAAATTGATTAGGATGTGGGTGTTAATTGCATTAGTAATATATTTAAGGTGAAAACATAAAAAAAAAAAAAAGTATTAAAAAATAGGCAGGATAAATTATTGGAGAAAGGCAAAAATCCTGGCTTTGCTTAAAGTGAAAAAAAAAGGTTTCTCTTGTAACCAAAAAATCTCAAACATCATTTTTTTTTTTTTTTTTTTCTTTAAAAAAAGTAACAAAATGAATTTTCCATGAAGGAGAAACATATTGCTGATATTAAAAGTTGTTAAAAATTCTCTTCAATTTCATATCTTTGGAAAGAGAAATCTTGATTTCATCTTCTACCTTGGTGGAATCAGAAATCTCCCACATTGAACCTAACCCAGTTTTTAAAAGGATATTCCAAGATGGTCTTGAGATGAAGACATGCAAAAATAAAATTAGCACCCCCCCTCCCTCTCCCCCAAAAAACAAAACTCTGAGATACAAAGTTGGTCTTTTGTTAAACAAATAAAAATTGTTGTGTTTAAAATTGAAAGGACTAAAAAGTTGAGTAAAAAAAAGACTTGAGATAATGTGTGTGAATATAAAATCTATTTTTGACAAAAGCTACTTTTTTTTTTTTCTTTCTGGATATGTAAGTAGATGTGAAAGCTTAAAATATGGGAAATAGTTGTTTGTGTCTGAAAGTGGGCTCCGTAGTGATGTAAAAAAAAAAAAAAAAAATAGAGAGAAAGTGTCAGGAGTTAAATTTCAGATTGATTCATGCCAGCTTCTTTCTTGGCAAAGGAGATGAACAGACATTTGAAAAGAAAAACAAAATATGGCTTGTAATGGCTGGATTTCTCCAATGATTGTCCACTCAAGTTTTAGAGGATTATCAATGATATTGCCATTTCATTTTGTCATAATCAGTTTCTTTGTCAATTTAAAAATAAGTAAAAATTCATGAATTGCTCATCTTCTGGAGAAGCTTAAAAAAAAAGTGGGTGTCAAATCCAGCATTGCTGTTCTGCATTAAATATCACCTTAATCTGACAGTTCAAGCAACATTTTGAGCCTATATAACATCCACAAAGTTTGTCTGATTTGTTTCTTCTGTTAACATAAAGTTACAACTAAATGTATTAACTTAATATTTATCAAGAATATACAAATGACATTTGAGCAAATCAGGGTGCAATTGGCATAAGATTACTCTATAGACAAATGAAAAGGACTTTTTTTTTTTTTTTCTTCTAAAACCTTATTTGAAATCATTATACATTCAAAGGGGTACCTCGATGTGGTGTAATGATTAGCAAGCTTGCCTCACTAGAACAATTACAACTGGGTAGTGAGTTTGATCTTCACTGGGTGCCCCCATAATTTCGGCTTTGTGCCACATCTAAGCTATGCTTAGAAAATCAACATTATGCATTCAAAAGTTGGAATTTCAACCTCCCCCTCCTAAGCTTTTCTTCTTCTTCTTCTTCACTTGTCCTATTTATTCTCTGGTTCATGTAAATTATGTCTTTTTCTTTTTTTTCTTTCTATTTCCATAATTGTGTAATATTGACTTTTCCATGTAATACTTCTCACCAAAAATTACTTATATTCGTAGATGTCAAAACTGTTTTGTTATTAGTAAAGTAATAAACATGAATGCAAGTCTCTATTGACACTTTGTCTGTGAAAGGCATGATAAGTGTGCACACGTTTGCCATACCTGTGCAGTTTTTCATGGTATAACTGCTGATTGCATGTAGCTGTTTAATATTTCCTAATGAATACATATCTAAGATCACACGACAAATGCTACCATATTGTAAATTTTCTTTATTAGTGTCTGATCAAATTCTTCAGTTTTAACTAAAACTTGAATTTCTGGCCAACTCACTTGTTCATCAAGAACATCTCATCTGTTAAATCTAAAAATTTTTTTTTTTCTTTTGTAGTTCTTGTAAAATTAAACTCTGAAACTTTCTTTCTGATCAGACATGAATTTTTTGTGCAGTCATTTGGTGGTGGTTTTGTATGTATAAAAAAAAGCCTAAATCCATTACACAAATGGTTTTGCAATATGTTAACATCTAAATATTAAAAAAAAACTGTTTAAACTCTTGAATATGAAGTGAAAATATTTGGTTGCTTTAATGAAAGCCAAAGTTTTCTGCTTGCATTTATGTTGCTTTACAGTATGAAAAATCTTCTCGTGTCTATTGTAAGAAGTGGATTTGATCAGTGACTTCACAAGAAATATTTATTATTACAAAGCCTACTTTGAAAATTTTGACATTAAAGAATTTAAAAAAAAAAAAAAAAAAACCTTTCTCTCTCTGTTATATTTTCTTTTGCAAAAATTTTTTCTTGTAAAAATACATCACCTTTTATAGAAGGGAAATGATATTTTTGACCCATTTGTGAAAGATGTGTGTTAAGATTTTAATACTGCAGACTGGGGGGTTGTATTCTGGTCTCTGACTCCACCCACAGCCTACGATAATATCCTGACATATGACAAATTTGCCAATTCTCTGGAACAAGAGATCGACTGTACTCATCAGATTACAGCAGCTTTATAAATAACTTCTGGCCAGGAATAAGTCTTCTTGTGAACAATATACTGTTGATGTTGCAAGAGTAATTTTAGCTACAGAAATATGGGACCACTGATTCAGGTAAATTCGCTGTACTGTTACCGTCACTGTGATACCAGCAGCATCCTTGCTTTGACAATTCTCAACTTTTGTCTTTGGCAACTGTTTACTCAAAACAACTATTGTTTCAAATCTGTTGTCAAGGACATATAGCTGTGAGTCAATACACTTCCTCTAGCCCATGAAAATTGACATTTTCCTTTTTAACCCTTTCAAATCACTCAGTGTAGTTTTGTCTTCCAAAATCTGTAATATTTTCAAGTTTCATATTGTTACATTTCTATCCCTGATAAACTTGTGGGTTGTCACTTAGAAAGCCATGGCAAGTATTCTACTCACTGCATCAAATATTACAGTGAAAGTAAAAAAAAAAAAAAATATTGGTTCATAAATTATTCACACCAAACAATAAAGAAGTTACTCTAAAAAGGAGCATCAGTCTTTTATTTTTAAATCTACATCTATGCAGGAGTTGTACATATTCTCCTGCAGCTACATTCCTTTTTATCATGCAGTTACTTTATTCCTGTATCATCAAGGATAGTCCTTTTGGATTTCCACCACTGTCCTGATACAAACTGACCAAGGGATGGATACAAGTTGGATCCCTGATCCATCTCTGGTTCCTTTGTTAGGGTGGGGGTCCTCTGAGAGTCATTAATGATACCACCAAATCTCTCTCTACCATCATGCACATCCTTATGATCTCCAAATGAAACGCATTAATACAAATCCCTATGAGGCTTTTTCTTATGAAACTTATATTTCCATAGTATCACTATTATGGCTATGACCATTATAAGCATGTCTGCTTGTGACAACTATGCTACAGCTTCTATTGGGTTTTTAACTTGTTGATCAGCCTCCTTAAATCAAGGTCCTTTTCTGTTTTTGTTATTTCGGGTACCTTGTGCAGTATAACCCTGGGAAACCTCATCACAGGTTTCCAGAATTCAGTTCAGTTACCAACCGACACATTTACCAAAGCGAAGCAATCTCTAACCTCAAATTTCTTGTCTGCCCTGATCAGAAGATGGTAGAATTAATGACTACCTATATGTAGAACATTCCACTGGCATAACTTTTGATGGTTTCTTTTTACTTACTATAGATAAGTCTACTTTGTGATCTGAAACTAATTCATATCCCTTCCGTTAAACAACTTGCAAATGACAACATCCTGTCAACTGTGACTGAACCTGACAGTTATTGATAATTCCTTCTGTGTCTCATCTAAACAATCCCTAAATACAAAAAGGGGTACCCTCCGCTGCTATATACTGGATTATTAGATAGACATGTACCCAACACACATGCAATACATTTGAAAGTTTCTTCCGATGCTAAAAGCATAAACATATTTCTAGCTGTATACAATGCCATATATTCAGACTAATTCATACGAGCTCACAACCATATTCCGTTGAAACACTGGTTCTTGTTAGATCAATGTCAAGCCTGGTCATCATTACCTAGATGGGTGAGCACTTGGAAATACCAGCAGCTGTAAGCTTGGATGTGCAGGTGGTGTCATTGATAATGACTGTCAATTGGAAATTGAGGAACCAAATTCCAATCCAGTTGTTACATTCACTTATGTTCAAATACATTTGGGAAAGCTATGAATGCACTGCTTCTTCCTAGCTATGGGTTAAATAGTAAAATTTGTAATATCAGTAAATCATTATCTCCAAAATTTAATACAATCCTAAACTATTTTATGGCTTTAAATAACCTGTAAAAGCTTAAGCTATAAAAAAAAACAAATCAACCTTATATCTGGCAACTGCACCTATCTTGTTGAGATCAGGGTAAGGAACAGGTACATTCATTAGCTGAAATACTTCAATGCTATCATCATGTGTGGCATTAATAATTTAATTCTAGTGTTCTTTCAAAACAACATGACTGCTGTTAATGAGGAAGTGAAATGACCATTAATTTATTAACACTATTGTCATTTTCACAAGAGTTGATAGATAAGGAAGGCCAGGGAGCCTCTGCCTGGCATTTAGCATGCAAATGGACCCTTATTTGCACATCCAGACAAAACCAGCAAATTCCTCCAACACCAGCACACCCTCCATCTTGGTTGTCCAGCTTTGTTATGCTTCTTCAGCCGTATAGAACAGAGTTATGTCCCCTGTCTCAACTTGATTCGTCATGTCTTACCTCCTGGTTACGCTTCTAAATCTACCTTTCAATGGCTGCTCGCTTTCTTCATTCCAAATTGCTACCATCCGTCTTCTCAATACAACAAATGGAATTTCGTCTTCCATATCAAATGTGTTGGAATGTGTCACGAAAAAATAAATGATTTTGTCTCTTTCTCTCCTGCTGTCGTTGTGGACGGACACAGTCTCCACTTCTGAGACTGAAAAACTACCCTCCTCATTCCAGCCTTTCACATAGAGCAGTAACTCACCTATGCAAAACACCAACAAGCCAGCTACCAATCACAGTTTCGCGCCTGCCGATGCCACTCACTTTGGGGTGTCAGTTGACCCCCCCAATCTTACGATATAAAGCTTCTCAGTTCGAGAATGGTGGCATCTGTCTGGAGTGAGGTGGCAGATTTCCAATGTCAAGCGTGCAAGTTGTATATATATGCGGACGCAGTCACCAGGCAGACGCGACCATCTCTTGAATTGAGAAGCTTTGTGATCTTAAGATGGGGGGGTAATGAGTTGGTCGGTCAACTTGACACCCACAAAGCGAGGGGAGGTGGGCAGGCGCCGAAACTGTGATTGGTAGCTGGCTTGGTGTTTTGCATAGGTGAGTTACCAAGCTCTATGTAAAGAGCTGGAATGAGAAGGAGGGTAGTTTTTCAGTCTCAGAAGTGGAGACTATCCGTCGTAACGACAGCAGGAGAGAAAGAGACAAAATCATTTATTTTTTCATGTTCGCCTCCTGATATGCTCTTGAACCGGTACTTTGCTATTTTATTTTTTCAGTGGTGTGGATGCTGTCCACCCGCCCACTTCCACGCTATGTCCATACGCCGCTTCGCACTGGTCGAAAGTTGCACTGAAGTCAGGTTCGCATCTTTCAAGGCAGCACAGATGGGCGGATCAGAAAACTCGACTTCGCCCACCTCTGTGATGCGTATGCCGCCCAGCTCCTCAATGTCCATCCCAAGGAGCAGATCAAAACCTAATAACATGCTGTCCATGACGGGGTTACCGTTGTTGATAGTGAGTTTGATGTTTCCAACTCCCCGGCTTCTGAGAGCTTTTCCATCAGCCGTTAGTACGTCCATCTTTTGTCTGCTCCACTGTCGACAAATCGAACCATTCGTGAGTGACCGAGAGCAGCCCGAATCTACTAAAGCGATACGTGTTATTCCATTGATGCGCACCTTAATCACAGGAAACGCCTCTTACATGCACAGTGCGGAGAAGAGACCGGCTGACATCGCATCCCCCATTCTATTTCCCGGACACTTAGAGGCAATATGACCTACTTTATGACATTGGAAACATCATAGATCGAAACGTGCCTTTCGTGCCGACCCCATGCGCATTGCTTTGCGTTGATAGCGGAAGTCTTTGGCAAAATGATTCGGCCCAGAGCACCGATAGCAGGTGACATCGCTATGGCGACGGATGGCTGGGGTCAGATCCTCTTTTACTTCAACTGGCTGAACAACTGCGGCCACTGGTTCATCAGCCTCTTTTTCGTCGATCATGATAGCACGAGCTCTGGTCAACAATTGATTGAGCGTCATGTCTTCCATTCTGGATGATGCACGGAGTATCTGCTTAACATGACTAGACAATCCAGACACAAAGGCACGGGTCATCCATTCTTCAGGAAGCGGTGTGATGGGTACGGCGATCTTCTTTAATTCTGCCACGAACCGGTCAGTTCCAAACGCGGTTAGTAGAGCGTGCTTTTTTTGCTCAATGTCACTTTTCTGTTCTTTGCTCAACTGCCTGTACACAGCAAGGGCGCCGCCTTTCAGGCGCAGTGGAAGAATCCGTTCAATCTTCGTGATCTCGCATAATTTGCAGACCAGTTCCACTTTTTCGATCCATTCAACCACAGACTGTCCACTCATATCAGCACTGAATTCGGAGATCAGTTTTATGTCGAACGGTCTTTCCGCCATCTTGCTAGAGACAAAGTAAATGCCAAAATAGCTTGTGTTGGAATGTGTCACGAAAAAATAAATGATTTTGTCTCTTTCTCTCCTGCTGTCGTAGCAACGGGCACAGTCTCCACTTCTGAGACTGAAAACTGCCCTCCTTCTCATTCCAGCCCTTTACATAGAGCTTGGTAACTCACCTATGCAAAACACCAACAAGCCAGCTACCAATCACAGTTCCCACGCCTGCCCACCTCCACTCGCTTTGGGGGTGTCAAGTTGACCGGCCAACTCATTACATCAAACTCTTCCAATGAAAAGTGATCATCTACTTCTCCTTTCTCTGATTTGTTCATATTTGTGAAAGCAGTATTACTTCAACAATTCTGATTCCTCACCTAGTGGGGTTTTAACTAAGGCCATTTTCTGGTGATTCCCACTCAGTTCACATACGGCCCAGTCATCAATGTTAACCAGCTTCAAATCATTTACATGTGTTCTTTTCACCTTTCCTCCAATTTGGTTTCAGATTTTATAAGACACTGGACCTGTCCATTCTACTATAGGGCTTTCACTTCAAATCCAATGTTCCTGGTTTTGTACGAGCCTTGCAGTAGACTGGGTCACCCATATCAAACTTGACTCTGTTTGTCTATCATTTCATTTTCCTTCTGAACTCTCTTAAATTGTCCAAAAGCCTTGGTCTGTGTTCATGTGTTATGAGTGTTTGTGATGGTCTTTACTTGTATACTTACAATGTGGTTTCAGCAGGGGTTATCTGTTGGCAATGCACTATATCTCTCAAACAGCATGTTGTAGGGTGAGTACTTAGCTGTCTCATTTATTGAAAATCTTCCAGCAACTGGCGCTTGTGTTAAGAACAAGTCCAATTCCCACTCTCGCCTTTACTCAATTTGGTTAGGATATCAGGTAGAAATTGTTGGAAGCATTTGCATTTCTCTGGGAATAATATGACTAAGTGATGATGAGTTTTACGTTCAGACTGTCCAAAGCCTGTCTCATTAGCACATTCATCTAACCATCTGTCTAGGTGTACTATACCTAGGAAAAATAAGTTAAAACTACTCCTGCTACTCTGTGGACTCTCATCTAAGATGGAATAAGTTTATGGCCAGTTAGTTAGCCAGTCTACCACTGGACTCTCTCATCGTTTTTGACATATTAGGGTTAAGCAACTCAGTTCCTAGGAACCAACAGCCAGACACCTGCACATAGGATTTTGATTATAGTGGTGAACAAAACGTACTTTTTGAAGAGCTGAATAAAGAGATCTGGTGCACAACATGCTATGAGGTCCCCAAATGACCCATTGCAGGTTTTGAATTCAGAGTTGTTCTTCTCCTAGACCAATTGCCATCCAAGGATATAGAATCCAGTCTGTCCTACTATTTATCCATAGCTGCAAGGAGAAGAGGAGGATTTATACCTTCCCCAAGGGTATTAGCACATAAGTGAATGTAATGGATTTGACTGAAATTCAAACTTGGCTCTCCGATTCCTCAATCCAATATATATATATATATATATATATATATATATATATATATATATACACACACACACACATAAAAGAAAACCATTGTAGCAGAAAGATTGTTCTAAATTTGATTTTTTTTTTTTTTTGAAAATTATATTAAGCACTTCTTTAAGCTGTTCTTTGGCAAAAGTTGGAGTTTGAAAAGTGTGTGTATATATATATATATATATATATATATATATATATATATATATATATATACACACACACAACCAACCAACCTTCCTCTGGGTGTGTCTCAGTATAGGGCCCCAAAATATTTAAACTAATCTTCTCAAATAGTTGGGTATTTCTGTCTCCTTGTTAGCTCTTGAGTGACAGGTAATGTACATGTCCATTTGGGTGCTTGTGTCATACAGGTCTGGCCAAAAATATCTTCCTCAGAAGTCTTATCTATTCCTTGATGGTACAACTCTCTATGGAACTGTTTGAATATCTTCTCTCACAGACTTGTTCGTATATACAATCTCTGTGCAACCATCATTCTTAAGAGAACCAAATATTTATATGCACAAGATCTATACAAAGCTCCAGGGCGATTTTGAGCATTCAATTATACCTGCTTCTTCCAATATTTGTATCTCTCTTATGTAGTGGTATTATTTTGAGATGGTCTCTTTTGGACTGGAGAGCGATCTGTATCTATCTTCCTTTCTATCTCTCTTCCCATTTGTAGAATATTGGTCTATCGTCATTACCACCAGTTTATAATACTGCTCCAACCAACAGTCACTAGGGCCTTATTATTTCTTGCTGTCGTTTCTGGATGGTTGAATGGTTACTTCTTCATTTCAGCTGATAGTTGATTTGACAATTGATCTTCCCCAGCCCATGTTTAAATTCTTGGAAAAAGCTGTATCTGACAAATTGGCCAGAGTTCAGTAACATGACAAAATCAACTGTACTAGTCAGATTATAGCAGCATAACTTCTGCCAAGAAATATGTCAACTTTTTTGTGAATAATAACAAGTTCGATGTCAGCAATATTCACTACTGTTAATGCAGCAAAAGTAATTATTAATTATGACAATATGGGACCACCGATTCAGACAAGTTCTCTATCTTCATCTGGTGATCTAATTAAGAGTGGTGACTGCTACAATTTGGTGGAGTCTGGCTTCTGACAAATTCTTTAGATGACTCTTCCTGGTGATGACTGATTCTGAGAATTGGTCCCAATTGGCTTTGTACATCTAAATATATAGGGTTTCTGTCAAATTCTTCTCCTAGCTGTAATTTAGACCAATCAGTTAATTCTGACCAACAATTGAGACCCTCCAATTTTCGTACCCATTCAGTTAAAGGATTCTCCTAATTTTCTGCATATGCATTTAGCATGCCGTGATTGTGATGCCAGCAACATTTCAGCTTTGATGATTCTCAACAACAAAAGTCATAACACCAGTTTTCAGATTATTGAACCCATGGGAATTAAATAAAATTCTTCCTTTTAACCCCTTGCCAACCATTCAGTGTAGTTTTATCATCTTTCAAAATTTGCAATATTCTCAGGGTCCATATTGTTACAAGATTAAAACTTACTGCTATACACAGGCAGGGTTCACTTTTTTTTGTAAACTGGTAGACTTCCTTCCAACAGTTTAAGTAGCTCTCCAGTCACCAAAAAAAAAAAAAAAAAAAAAAATCTGTATTGATTGACATTCACTCCACATAAAGGCAAATATCAAAGGTTGAAGATTATTTTTTTTATTGCGTGTATATTATACACACAATTTATAATTGGAAGAGCACAAAAGATCGTAGATGGAAGTCTTTCTTTGATTTGTAGTACTCATTTTTCTTGCACATACACAAAGCAATTTCTTCTCCATATGTTTAGACCTTCCTTTTTAAATTCATAACTTCTTTTAACTGAATTATTTGCCACTTTCCTGACTAATGCTTTTTAAAGTAAATTCTACCTCTCAACCAATTCATCTGCTCACTTATAAGCTTAAAAAGATATATATATATATATATATATATATATATATATATATATATATATATATATATATATATATATATATCTATACACACACCTTGCATTGCAGGTTTAATTCCCTTCATTCAAACACTCAATTGAGAGGCACTCTTAAATAAAGTTGAAAACATGGCATTCTTACTAACTACTCTGGCTCTTATGAGTTTTTGGGGGGCAGGCTATAGTTGTCACTTTGTAGTGGGTGGCGTTTGAAGTATTAGCCCAAGAACAACGGTCTGGATTCTTTGTTGAAACCCAGAAGTCAACTCTTTGCCATGCAAGAGGTTTGCTTGTCCTAATAAATGGTACAACGCATAAAGTTGATATAGGAAAATCTGCATGGTTTTGTGGAAGTAAAAGTTGCCAACTACTTGTTGACTAGAGCCCTAGGCAAAGATATTTTCAAAGAAAAGAGGTAGATGAAAGGAATTTCAACAAATGTTACAAGTTTATTTCAATCTTGCAACATTTATGTCCACAGAAAAATATATATATATATATATATATTACATAGTAATAATACATTTCATTTTAAAACAATACTTACACTGATCCCCCTCAAAAAGGAAAGAAAACTACATGTATGTCAAAAAGTCAGGGATCATTTTGACGTTGGTTTATATTGTAAACAGGCCACCCACTATCTAAAATACAAAGTTGATGTTTTTTCGATTCTGACAAATTACCTGAGTAGAGAAAGTTGTTCTGAATGCTAGGCAACAAAAATTACTTGTGAAAATATTTTTATCTCCAAGAAATTACTAATTAATATTCCTGTGTTGGAAAGTAAAGTATCATTTTGACATTACTGTAAAGTATCATTTTGTATTACTGTATAAAAACAAAGCTTTTTCAGCATAAAATCAAAATAACTTGAAACAAAAAATATGTACAGTAATGTACATATTTTTTGTTTCAAGTTATTTTGATTTTATGCTGAAAAAGCTTTGTTTTTATACAGTAATACAACAATCTCGTTCTTTCCACAAGATATTCTAAGCTAATAACATTGTAATGTTTGATTTCTTTTTTGAAAATGTTCCACTGTAATGAATCATTGCTAATAATTCCAGTCATCAACCTGTGTTATTTGTCAAGAAAAATGATTTTTAAAGCATTTTGTTTTTTTGCAAATTAAAAAAAAAAAAAAAAAAAAAAAAAAAAAAATTCTATAATACCCTCATTTTTAGAGGGTCCACCAAAATAGTTTAGCCTAAGATGGGGACAGGCAAAAATTAAGATATCATACTTATTATAAAACCCAGGTTGTGTGTGTGTGTCTGTAAGTTTATATATTGGATCGGATTTCCTGCATTTTTCAACCGATTTCAACAAAACTTCACAGGACTACGTAAAATTACCTTGTGGTGGTTCTGACAGCACCAAAAATTGGAAAAACAATTGTTTTTGCACAAAATCAATTTGAAAACATGATTAAGAGGCATCACGAGAGTGAAAGGGGGACAACTCATATCGAGTTATACTTATTATAAAACCCAGGGTGTGTGTGTGTGTGTGTGTGTGTATTAGTGTTCATTTATATATGGGATCGGATTTCCTACATTTTTCAACCAATTTCAACAAAACTTCACCTTTTTTTTTTGGCAGGTAGTGTTTCTTATGGTCTTGCACACTTTTACACAGAATGCTTTAAAAATTCCATTTACAAGGCAATTGTTTATAATAAAATTCTATTCAATCGGTAGACTCATAACGATTGAAAACAATGTTTTTGCATGAGTTTGACCAATTCATAAAAAAAAAAAAAAAAAAAAAAAAAAAAAAAACAAACTATTTAAGACATGCGTGTCCGTCAACCTTAAACAATAATCTTTGTCAATTTTATTTTTCAGTCTTTATGATGGTGATACTTGATCTATCTCTTATTGTTACATCCCCGGCAACGCCTGGCTCTACTACTAGTGTATATATATATATATATATATATATATATATATATATATATATATATATATATAAAATTCTGTGACTTCCATTCGTCATAGACTTACATTGACCAATCAAAACCAAATTTTGGGGAAAGTCCAAATAGGTAGGGGGATACAAGATACAGTTGCCTTTTACTAGGAATGTAAAAACTGCAAGATTTTTCCAAACAAATCAGTTAATTCAAATTTCATAGATTGGTTTGCAAAACTGAATGGCATGTGGAGTTTGTAAATCTTGACAAAAATGTTAGTCTAACTTCAACACACATCAGCTTGTTGCAAATAAAAAAATTCTAGTGTTACAAAAATACAAACACTTTCATATGTATTTTTATTATACAGTTATATATACATAACTCATTATCTTTCGTTTTTTTTTTCTTTCTTTTTAAGCAAAAAAAAAAAAAAAAAAAAAAAAAGAAAACCCAAACATTTGGTTTAATTGAAGTTTTTGGCATAAAAATTTCACAAAATTTAAAACCCCAGGACCTCAAATTGGCAATCAGTGTTGCACAGTTTAGAAATACACAAAAATGCCCATTGTGATGATGATGATGAGTGCTTAAAAGCAGGTGGGGTGGGTGGGGGTGATACAAAAGGTAGTAGAGGGAAATACAACCCAATGATTTGATGGTACTGAGGGGGAAATGATAAATTTTCTTTTTTAAATTAAAGAAAGGAAATTTCTTCAACTGAAACCTAGAAAAAGGAAAGAGTGTGTGTGTGTGTGTATATATATATATATATATATAGCAACTGAGTATTCAATCTAATTAAAAAAAAAAAAAAAATTTCTGAGTTTTTGTAAATCTCGTATCAGTGAAAATGTTAAATCACCGGGAAGTAAAAATGGAACCCAGTCGTGATGGAATTGGAGAAGAGGTTAAAAGGATTTCGTTGAATGAAAAGTTACAAATTATCAAACATTTAATTATTATCTTGAAATATAAAATAAAAATTCAGTCCCCGCCCCACTGCTTTCATCATATATGAGAGAAAGGTTTAAAAAAAAAAAAAAAAAAAAAAAAAAGAAAAGTTTTGTCATAAGCAGCTTTGAGTTTTATCGCCTGATGATTGAAAACTGCACTTCAAGTTCATTACCTAAATAAAGGAAAATAGACATTTACATTAAATTTCAACATTACAAGGAAAAACAGATAATTTGTAATTATACAAGGGAAGTAACTTTTCCTTACAGGTTTGAATTTGTTTACTCAGTTTAGAGGCCAGCAATTGGCAAGAAAACTTGACTGCTGATGTACGCAATGACTCATGAAAGAATTTAATGTCACGTTGATTAGGCGCAGATAAAAAATAGAGCAAATTATTTTTGAAAAATTTCATGAATAAAGCGAATTATTTCCCCTCTGAACTTACCGCTTCACATCAGTTTTCAGAAATTGTCGCTCTGTTGCAGTGAGGTTGAGCCAGCCACCTAAAGAAAGATTTAAAACAACAAAATGTAAATACATTACCTTATGAAGCCTCTTTTTCTTTAATCATTTTAAGGAGAATGAATTTTCTTTTAATACATGATATGTCAATTAGGTTTCAAGAAATTAGAAATTACTTGAATTGTATGTGGTTAGGAAGGTGGGGGAATTAGCGATAATAAAAAAAGTTAAAATCCTTTAAATTGCTTAAGAGAAACCAAATTTATGTTTTTCATTTTATTTTAAAACAGATGCATTGGGAGGCGGGGGAGGGGATAGAAGAAAATAAATGAATACAAACCCCGAGAAGCATCAACAAGATACAGCATAATTGCAGCAACAAGTGCAACTAGATTTAAAAAAAAGAGAAAAGAAAAAGAAACATGATTTAATAATTGATTTTTGATGTGACATTTCAATTTAGAATTCAATCAAAATTGCCAAGTTTATTATGCACACACTGCATTCATTACATTCACTTATTGCACAGTTCATTGGGGAACCATGAAACTGAGTTGCATGATAAGCGTAGGTATATGTGGATTTATTAATTTTGTTTACACCATAAATTAAATAAATACTTATTTGCTTAACTTTATGTGCATGCTATCATATACATCTGCAATATCTTGTTATTCAGTTCATATCCACACTTTACATTATATATATTATGATATTAAGATGTTAAAAATCCCTACATTATTGCAATTATAGTTTAACACCATAAATGTGTCTCCTTGAGTGATGTTAAACTAGTGGTGAGTAAAAGATTAAATTCCAAAAGCAAAATTAAAAAAAAAAAGGATTGTGTACTTTGCCATTTTACGTGGAGATTATATGTGTGAGAAAGATAAGATCAGAGTTAAAATTATTATAATCATAGTAATTACTGTGTGAACTTTAAAAGATATGATAAATAATTTAAATATTGGTAAGATTATTTTTTTTTAAAGATATATATATCTATACTCACTGCACAACCAAACCAGGAAGAAGATTTCCAGCAACAAATAACCTTTCGCATCAACAATGAGGCCAGCAATATAGGAGATGAGAGCCAGACCCAAATTTTGAATTGCCTGCATACTGAATGAGAGGAGGAGAAAAAATATAAAAATATTTTAGAATTTTTATATTCTATTTTGAAGAGATTTAAGCTACAATGTACCTACAATTCTGTATTTGTCTCAGTGACTTTAGTTTGAATCCTCTGGATTGCTTAGAGTGCAGGGGGTGGGATTTATTGAGAAACATTTTTCAAAGTTGATATTTAATTTTTAGGTGAAAAAAAAAAAAAAAAAAAAATTTTTTTTAAATTTATATTACCTGCCACCCCTATATACACATGTAAGGGGGTGCTAAAAGTTCAGAGCTTGACCCATTTTTCAGCATGCGTATACATGCATAGATGTGGAAGATTAAAGTGTCAAAATTTAACCAAAACTTGGTATCTATTAGTCTCCTTATGAAAGGTAAATAAGAAATAAAATATAACCCTGCTAAACCCTTACAGGTGAAAGTAGTAAGAAAAAAAAAAAATTCAATAATACATACACTCCATAAGCGGTTCCAAGTTGATGTTCAGGAATGACTAAGGAAACGAGGGGCCAAAGTGCACTGGCCAAAATTGAATAAGCCACTCCCATAAATGACTGTAAAGAGAAAAAAAAAAAAAAAAAAGCAAAGTAAATATTTGGCAATATTTAAATGGAGCATCAAAAGAGGGATTTCTCTTTTGACATTTATTACTTGGTAATTTACATTGTTTTTAGAATTTTAATAAAATTCAAAACACATTAAACTGGATTTATACATTTTTTTTGTTTTGGAGAATTGACAAAAATTTAAAGTAATTACTCATTTGACAACAAATATATAATAATGGCTAAATGACCCCCTCTAACTTGGAAAATTAAAATGAGATAATCAGGAATATAAAAATAATTTGGGAAGAAAATGTATAATATTCAGAATATCCATATTTTTTTTTTTTTTTTTTTTTTAAATTTTACAGTAACTCGTTGTTGTTTTTATTTAGATTTTCTTGTTCTCTTGTACAGATATTTTTATAAATTTATGAATAAAAAATTTTCTTAATTTGTAAAATAGTAAATAATAAATATGGATTGTTCACATTTTTAATCTTGTAAATATAAAATTATTCTTCTAAATAAACAATCTAATAAATTTTTTCAAGAAAAAAAGAGGATTGTATAAAAATTTCTAAAAATATCTTAAAAACAAAGATATTTGAGGGCTTATAAAGTAATAGTCAAGAGGAAAAATTGTCCTTTTGACAGAGAAATTTGGATGTACAAAGCTTAAAATATTAATAAAAAAAAAAAAAAAAAAATTTCACAAACTGGCAACAGAAGAATTCTTTTCTATTTTAGCTTAACTAAAAACTGGACTTGTTTTGTTTTGTCCAATTGTTTCAATTTTAAAAAAAAAAAAAAAAAAAAAAAATTTTTTTTGTCAGCAGGATTGCAGAGCAACCCCTTCCACATACCATAGCAACGTAAGGGTTTAAAAATGTGAAGCCTAAAATGGCATGACATCCCAATGTAACTGTGATGCCAAGGATGATCCAAAAGATATTTCTGCCAAGTCTGTCAACTAAAAATCCAAAGAAAGGTGAAGCAACAGCGGAGATGATGTAGACGATGCTAAAGAGAGAAAAAAAAGGTCAAATTTATTAAGGAAGATGATTGACTGGGAGATGAAGAGAAAAAAGAAAAAAGGTCAAATTTATTAAAGAGGAGGGAAAGAAAAAAAAAAAAAAAAAAAAAAAAAAGGGAAAAAACATCTTATATCGTCAAGGCTGTGATGCAATTTGACTTGCCATTTTCAAGGAAACGAAATGTAGTTTATTTACAGAAATATTGTTGTCATTTTTGTTGTTATGATCACAATGTTCATTTAGTTGTTGTCTCCTCAGTACTGCAACAGGTCTTTCTTAATCCTTATTAGCTTTTAGCTAACATCAACTGAAGATAAACAGTTAGCCTCATACACTGCCTTGGGCAATTTGTTGCAATAAAAGTGATCAATTAGGTCCACTTTTATTAACGAGATGGCAGGCAGATGGTTGGAGAGTCACCATAAAACTGAGCACCTGTCCAGTTCCCTCTATACATGTCTTGGCAAGTGTATTCAGTCATGCATAACATGTCTTGGGTAATGTAAAGACCTGCTGGGGTCAATCCCTCTCCAGGTCAACTCTCCCACCATCTTCAAGAAAAGTTTTTATAATTGCAATTGCATGAAGGCTTCCATAGTCTTAGACAAATGACATTAGTATTTATAACAACCAAATTAAATCTTTTTATTTAGTAGCAGTTGATATAACGAAGCAAATACTTAAAAATGACAGATTAATAAATAATTTCATGATATTTACTAAAATATGGTATAGTTATTTTCAAAAGGTCCAATAGGAAATTCAAGTTAATTTTTATACACATAACTTGTTATAAATTTTGGAAAAACTGTACAGAGGAGATTAATCTTACCTGTTTACATTATGAGCCAAGCTGGGATTAAAGTTGAATTTATTCTCAAAAAAGAGACTGTAAAGAAATAAAAAAGTGGTTTTAAAAGGCAGAAATAATGCCACAAGTTGTTGTTGTTTTTTCTCTCATCCCAAATTAGAAAAACTTCACCTCCCCCCTCCAATCCCCAAAGTGTTAGAGTATGTTATTAATGTAATCATAATATGCCAATCATTTTAAAGACATTATTTTACTCGACTGATATCAAGTCATTAAATATACATAAATACAATGGAGTTGTGGGAGTGGTGGTGGGGAAGCTACAACAGTTTTAAACCAAGTCTAGAGTAAAACAAAATTTAATTTTCCTGACGCAGACACAAAGTTCTAAGATTTGTTAGACATGAAGGACGAAATATACAATAAATAACAAAAATTTCTAGTTCATTTATAAAATTAAATTTTAGAATGACAAGGAAATTAATGAATAAAAGCAAAAGGGAATAAGAACAATATTTCTCATCAGAATCCATCTTGAATATTTACTTGGCTTTAGTCACTTTCCCTGGGCTTTTTCTATAAAAACTTTCATGGCAATTGTTGTGATGAGTTTTTTTTCCCTTGGTACCTCAATTTTCACAAATTTAAGTGCAGTACTGGATTGGCAGTTAAGTCATCATTTTACTGTTGAAATTGCTAAATATAACTAAGTTTCTTCTCTCACACTTCCCGCTTATGAAACTCCTCCAGCTTCTTATTCTCCTGTCAACTATGATCTTAAAAAAAAAAAAAAAAAAAAAAAAAAATCAAATCAAATGCAATGTCAATTATCATCAGCAACCCTTTGCATCATCGCGGCTTTATCGCCTTAGAGTGAAATGATTGAGAGGGGAAAAAAAAAAAAAAAAGACATTAATGCCCCCCCCCCGGTTTTTTTTTTTTTTAAAGTTGTATATAGAAAACTAACCTATAGTGATGGAAATGATTGATTACAAGCAAAGTTTATTGAACTGCTACTTACAGGCCCAAACCGATAAATGGAAAGACAGTAACATAATATGCTACACAGATGATTGTCATAAGCCACATAGTCAATGGAAATCTTTCACATCTTTCAGATTGACAGTTTCCTCTGGAAAAAAAAAGAAAAAAAAAAAAAAAAAAAAAAAAGGAAAATAAAGAGGTTTCCTTTTATTTAGAAGACATTCAAACAGCAATTGATTTTAGGTTAAAGTTTTATATTTAACTTCAATTTTATCTAATGTCAAGGATTGAACTTGCTCTGTTAACCACTTCTCTATAAAATAAAAACAGACACTGAGAGAAAATATATTATATATATATAAAATTTGTACATGTATTTTCTTTTCTGGACATAAAGTGTGTAAAAACTATCCAAATATTTTATGTCTTTCAGCTAATCTGTTAGACATTATCAAAAAGGCTAATAGATTAACCAAAAGCACTTGGATCCATGGAATATTTAAAAAAAACAGCAAATTTTATTTCATCTTCTGTCCTGAACATTTGAGGAATCTATTCAAAGGAAAAATGCTGGATTGACCTCCACTCAAAACAATGTTTAAAGTAATAAAAATCCATTGCTTATATATATATATATATATATATATATATATATAAGTGAACATTGTAGTCAACAGAGGCGACAGGCTGTTTCATGCTGGATATTTCCTTGGCTTATATATATATATATATATATAATGTCAGTGGTGCATTCTGGGTAATCTATTCTGGCAATTATTTATATTTACATATGCTCTATCTCTGATATTGAGCACTTTATCCCATAAATATAGCACACTTTAAAACTATATTTCTGCATATATCTAAGATATTTAGTAATTGCATTTGTCTTTATCTAAAGTTCTAAATTTTCTTTTTTTTTGTATTTTGGACCATTTCCTGGCTTCTGATACATATTTAAATATATATATATATCTATCTCTACTTTCAACTTTTACTTTATCAAATTTTTTTCATGTCAATGTCACTGTTTTCAATATCATGTTCATGTTACAGTTTGTTTTTATTGTGTCATTTTTATTTTTTTGTTTATAAAATATTTTGCAGGCTATTTTGAATTCCTAAATTTGACAACATTATATTGATGTTTGGTTGTTTTGTTTTTTTTATATGTGTAATCATTTTATTTATTTATGTGAAAACATTTGTTAGATTCTGTTCAGTTTCATTGGTAGGTGAGATGAAATTCAATTGGTCAGAAATCAAGAAAAAAATTTCTCAAAGAATTTTCACTGATCAAACTACAAATATATATACATAGATATAACTGAATGTAACGAGAACAAAAATAATGTATAAATTTTAACGTTCACAGTATTAATTCAAAATAGGGCTCCATACTGATAGTAGAGCAATAATTATTTATAATTTTTTTTCATATAAAAAAAAAAAAAAAACCACCAGTCGAGGTGCAACTAAATGCACCGAAACAAAGTTACATCTTTGCTGTGAGTAAATTGCTTTTGTCTATATGAAAATTTGTAATAAATACATTAAGTAGACACTGAGGTCAACAGTGAATAGCAACAATATTTCATGTAATCTTCAGGCCATTTGTGTTGTGTGCTGGCTCAACTACTTATATACTCTATTCAATGGAGCATCATGAATAGCAAGGTCAGGTATTTTCAGTTTATTGAATTATCTTGGTAGCCAGTAATATATATATATATGTGTGTGTGTGTGTACGTCTGGGAGACGGAGGTAGACACCCTTAGAAGTGGAAACCTCTGGTTCTTCCTTTTGGAGCATCCTTCTGGGACAGGGAAACTTGTATATAAACTGAAGGACACTTGATCTCCAACCATTTCAACATTTGTTATCCAACTAGTGCTATGGAAAATTGTGCCGAAAGGTGGGTTCAGTACTGTACAATATTCTATCCACAAAAGTCTGGGAGTCTTCAGAATGTTCCTTCCCTTGAATGTTCACTTGGGAGTTAGGATTCCTGGGATGGTCTTACTTGGTCACGAGTTGACTTTCACTATATATAACTTAGCATGCAGGGTGTGTCAGAAAATCTAGAAAAACAGCTCCACGTTAATGTGGAGCTGTTTTTCTAGATTTCATTCAAATGAAAAGGATATTAGAGAATTTAAAGAATACTGGACTGAAAAATTTGACCTGATTAAAAAAGACAATAAAGTCTTATGCATTTTCTGTTCCAAAAACAATCATTTGTAGGACTTCTGTAAAGAGACATTTTGAAAATGTTCATAAGAATTTAAGTAATAAAACTGAGAAGGAAAAAAGAGAATTAATTTCTCATGAACTGAGCAAAACAAAAAAAAAAAAAAAAACAAAAGCTGATACTTTTATGATCTTTATTTCAGGTAGGCCCGGTTCCAACTTAGTTGATCCTAGTTTTGAGGTTTCAAAAGTTATTTTCCTACATGGAAAGCTACTCAGTGATTAGGGTTATATTAAAGATGCTTGGCTATAATGTGCATCTTTCCTTTTTGACAATTTTTCAGAAAAGGAAAAGATTATTCAGCACATTAAAGATTTGTCTGTGAATAGGAAAATGGATAAGATACTTAAGTTGAAAAGGAATACAGCTGATTTGTCTTCATGTAAGTTTTTTCACTATTTGTGTTGATGAAAGTACAGACATTACATCATCAGGTAGGCTAGCCATGTTTTCTTGATTTTGTAGTATGTGAAGAGATGCTTACACTTGTAACACTACCTGAGAATACTTCTGGAGTTGAAATATGTAAAGTAGTTGTGAACAAATTATCTATTTGACAAATTCACATTTCAAAAGTAGTATCTTCCACAACAGATGGCGTCTCCTGCATAATTGGTGAGAAGGCAGGATTTGTTATTTACAAAAGATGTTGGTCATCCACTGATAGGTTTTCATTGCATCATACATGTGGAGGCTTTGCGTGCAAAAGCTGACGTAAAAGAACTTCAGCAAGTGATGCAAACAGTTAACTACATTTCTTAATTATTCTTAATTAATTACATTTCTGCTCAGGCTTTAAGTAAAAGACAATTTCAAATTTTATTGAATAAGGAAGAATCTGTATATAACGAACTGAAAATGTACAACAATGTTCATTGGCTTAACTGAGGTTTGGTTCTGAAACAATTTGTTGAATGCTTAGATGAGATAAAGCTCTTTTGGACTGACCAACAAGTATTGTTTGACATCATGTGGGTTTGTAAACTAATGTTTTTTTTGCAGATTTTTGTGAACATTTAAATGACTTGAATATTAAATTACAAGGTTCTGGTAAGACACTTGATATGTTTGGTTACATAAAGGCTTTTCAAATGAAACTAAAAGTTTTTAAGAGCTATGTAGATAATGAGAGCAAAGTTCATTAAGTTTCCAGGCAGTATCAAAATGGATGAATTAAACTTGCAAATGTTTTCATGGAGTGACATGGATGATTTTGAAATGCAGTTGATAGAATTTCAGAGTAGCTCAATTATTTGTTGATTTGAAAAATATCGAAAGGAGCAATTAGAGATGGGAGTATGAGAGAGAAATGTGGAAAACAAATTATTAAGGATTTGGAATACCATTCCAGAAAATTTTCTTGGTTTAAAAAAACCTTTCAACACCATTACTATCCATGTTTTCATCTAAATATGTTTGTGAATCTTTGTTCTCAGTGATGAACTTTATTAAATCTCATAACAGGAGTAGATAACAGATGAAACTAGTAATGCATGCATATCTCTCAAGGTTACTAAATATTAACTAAATATAAAATCTGTCATCAATGATGCAGTAGCAGAAGTCCCACTGATAATATATAATAAAAGAGTCAACAAGTTTTCTGTCTCTAGTTTTATTTGAAAGTGGAAAGGTTCAGGGCTGTTTAAATGTAATTTTGAAGGTAAATAAATATACTTTTTTATATACATCATTTATAACGGTTTTAAAAATCAGCAAAAGATTAACTTTTACTGTGTTTTAGTCATAAAAATGTATTACTAGAAAAAAATGATGACTGATTAATCGAAAAAATTAACAGTGTCAAGTTTTCATGTTGATGGTAATAATAGTTAATAGTGTTTTTAAATTATGCGAGTACATATGGCAGTTACATTTATACTTACAGGCTAATAAAAAAAAAATATCAAAAGATCTTTTTCATAAAAACCCGTCAGAAGTTTTTTAATTCAATTTTACATGATTTACACAATTTCTTACAATACGACATCTTTACAGCTCTGGGGTAATTATTTTATCATTTCAAAAAGTTCTTCACATACTTAATAGATATCAAATAATATGCTTCAAAAAAATTTTTTGTTGCCACATGGAAAAATTGTGTGTCAATGATTTGGCCAGTTTTTGCATACACTCTCAAAAAGGTTGCCCACCCCTTGTCGTATAGAAAACAACTTGGTTTGCTGCATCTGTAATAAGCATTGCATGTCACTTGCAGGCTTCAAAAGACTGTCATTCACCTGAGAACAAAAATCACTCAAGCATTTCAGCAATGGTCATACTTGTTTAATGAATTAACAGCCATCATATGTACAGGATTCAATTAATGAAGCTTAATTGAGAGATTGTATTTTATTTATATATATATATATATATATATATATGATGATGGCTGTCAACTCATAAGTAGAGAGAATTAAAGATTTAAATAATTTTTTTTTTTTTTTTTTTAAGAGAAATATAATTGTTTTATTAATGTTTTGAATTTTTGGTTAGATTTTCAAAACGTTTCTACAATTTGTATAAAAGACCAAATGTAAGTCTTACCAGATTGTTTTCTGTTTTTCAAAATTTTTTCTGCTCTTCTGTCAAAGAACGACAGCGCTAATGCACAGAGCAGTGAGACAATACAAGAGGCTCCACCAACTGAAAGATGAAAAAAATATATATAAGGAAAATTGAAATTTAAGAAAATTAATTTTTAAAGTATGACCAAGGAGAGAAAACAAAAAAAAGAGAGTTGCCCATCATTCTCAAAATCCAATGTAATCTGCTTATTGAGAAACAAGAGTCCATACATCCCTTAGAGTAAAAAGAAAAAAAAGAAAAGAAAAACGTTTTATCGCCAAATGTTTGTGTTAAGAGGAAAAGCCAAAGTATTTTTTATTATTTTTATTAAATTTTTTAATTCTTCCGAGCACATTCAAAATTTTGGTAAAAAAAAAAAAAAAAAAAAAAAAAATCTTGCTTTTCTTGCATCAGTGATAGGCCAACAATTAGTATAGGGATTTTTAGCATTTTTTTGTGTCAAAAACACATGGTTTGTAAATTTTTGCAAAAATCAAATAATTGTCAAATTTTAATGAAATTTTCAAGACTTTATTTTTTAAATTTTTCATGAAAATCTTGGTAATTTTTTTTCTTTTTTACATCTGTTACCCCCACTTAATTTTATGAAATTGAGAAATTAAAATTCCATCCTCTTAATATTAGTTAAAAGCAGGACTCATTGGAGAATTTAAATCAATTTGTTTTTGTTAAACAAACACCATTTACTGAAAATTTACTGCTCTGAATCATCATAAAAAAAAAAAAAAAAAAAAAAATGCAATTATGACATTTAATTAGAAAAGCTTTTAGTTGCTTTTAGAAATAAGATATATTAAGGACACTATTATCTTAAGAAAAAAATTTGATGAATAAATAATGAATTTTTACAAGAATTGTTTTCATTTTTTTTAAATTTTAATTAGAGAAATTTATTAAATTTTAAATCTTAAAATTCTGTATTAATTTCAGCCTTTTTAATGATATGAAGTGAAAACTATATTTACTAATCATAAATGTAAAAACTTAATACAATCCATCAAACATTAACAATTTTATAAGAATTTTGAAGTTTTTTCCTTTCTACAAACATGCCAATGTTTGTAAGTATAGGCAGTCATACACAACATTATCAGAAAATAAGAGTGATAACTATAGTAAATTTAGAATCAACATTTCTAAAATTCAATAAAACAGTAGATTATGGAGATTTTCATAAATTTTCTAATCTATCAAAAAAAAAAAAAAAAAACCACACACAATTTCCATTCGGTTTTAATTTTTTAAATACAACAAAGTATTTTCATTATTGAAAATATTAAATTTAATTTATTAATTTGTTAGCTTGTAATTAAAACTAAAATAAAAGCTTAAAAGATTTTTAACTTAAAACTTACGTATTGCATTTTTTGTGGAGGTCCCTATAATAATTCCATGTGTAAAAGAGTCAGCCATTCTACAGTGGTTGATTACTCAAAACATTTTTCTGCTAAGCAGTTTCCCTTGACCGATTCTCCTCCCCACATCTAGTATAAAATTAGTAAATTGGAGTAATAAAAAAAAAAAAAAAAAAAAGAAAGAAAAAAATTCATATCTGTTGCATCCTTAAAGAAGGTTACAGACAAAGGTGGTACTCAAGTGAAGGAACAGCAACACGTGCATAGATGAAAGAAGAGAGGTTTATTGTAAAAGAGAATACACTACTGAAAGACAGGGAATCAGGTAGTAGGCTAGTAATTCCTGAAGCAAGGATAGTTGCCAACCACCCCACACAGTCAGATGTGGCACAAGGACAAATCTAATGTGGGTTATCCGAGCTTGCATCTTCAGCCAAAAATTCCATGTATAAAACAGGTTGGGTAGCTGTTTCCAGAGACAAGACTGCTCTTTGACATAGCCTTATCTGGGGATCCTCTCTGCTCAGAGGCAGAGAGTTTGACCAGCACAGCTGGAGACGAATCTCAACTCTAGACTAATTCCTGAAGCAAGGTTATTTTACCTTACCTCCCTGCAAGGCAGGATGTGGCAGAAGCCCATTTTTTAATGCGGGGCAAAACTGAGCCCATAGGCTCGGGCAAAAATTTCCTGTAGACACCGTATACACAGGGCCGGGTAGCTGTCCCAAGACAAAAATTTTTCCCTTCGGCATAGCCTCATCTAGGTTCCTCTCTGCCTTTGGGCAGAGAGTTTGACCAGCACGGCTGGAAACAAATCTCCAACTAATTGCCGAAGCAAGCCCCCAGGCATATCCTGTGCTCACTAAATATTGCTATTGATATAGTCAGTCTGCATAGGCAATAGGGAGTGTGGGACATTCCATTACAACAATATACAATAAAAAAAAAGTTGATCTTTACATTGCTTTGTTCATTTCTGCAGGAATTGATTTCAATCTTTTTCTCTTGAAGAGGAGGGGAAAAGGAAGAAAATGTCCCCTTCCCAATTAAAAAAAGAACACTGCTATAAAAAAATTTTCAAATGTGATTGGTACCTTAGAAAGGACAAATACCAGCTAAAACAACAAAGATGAGGATGATCATTTGAATAATTATCCCAGAATTTATAAAATACTGATTACTTACCAATCAGCAAAGTTAAACCAAGCCCCTTGTATCCAGGACTTTTTGCTGCAAATAGGTCATACAAAGGACCCATTATGTTCATATTTACAGTGCTACCCTGAAAATAAAAAAAAATTTTAAAAAAATGTGAAAAAAGTCAGTGACACATGCTTGGGCAATCTTTCAAATCATGACTGACTAGGCAGAAGATTTTCTCACAGTAGAATGCCACTTCTTTCTGCAGTAAAGTGGTTGCCAACCAAGGCTGTAGGACCCAATCTGTCCTGATATTCAACCCATAGCTTTCTCCAGGCTGGTTTGAATTCAGTTTTCCTTCTCCTAGAATGGTTGTCAATCAAGGCCATAGGGCACAGTCTGTCCTGCTATTTAACCCATAGCTGGAGAAGGAAATGAATTCTTATCTTTCCTAAGGATACAAGTGAATGTCTTGTGTAACAATTGTTTTCCAGTATTTAGTGATATCTGAAGTGGTATAGGAAAGTTTCCAGATTATTGGCAAAAGAGGAAGATTCTTTCTGAAGTTTTGCTAGTGGATGGCTAACCTGAATTATTATCTTGAACAAAGTAAAATAAACAAGTTTTATCTTGCACACATTCACTCAGCACCCCACCCAAAGAATTAATAGATTTATATTTAATCTAATATTTTTATTACTTCAAATGTTAATTTTAGTAGATACTTGTGTTTGAATAAAAACTATTATGTCAAACGTTCTGTGCACACTCAAATCCTAATAAAAAAAGAAAAAGAAAAAAAAAAAGTGCTCTCCCACAGTGTTCAAACCTGTGTCCCCACCTTTGCAGGTGAAACCACTGTCTGATCTGGTGTGCCTTTGACGACCCAACCACGGAGAACATCAAAGCCCAGCAAAATTCTATTTGCCTTTTTAAGTAAGGTCCCGTTTCAGATCTTCTTCAAAGTGCATATCTTCTTGGTTTTGTGTCCAAATGTAAATAAAGCAATTCCTAAAGAATTAATGGATTTATTTTTAATCCAACATTTTTTTTTTACTTCAAAAATTATTTTTAGTGAATACTTATGTTTATACATATTCAAAAGTTCATTAGAGATATCCAAAATATTGTGGCAGTTTTTAACACTAGGCAGCCAAAACATCCAGCATAAAGAACCTGTTCATTTGTAATCAATTGTGCTGGGCGAGGCATCTTAGGAGAATGAGAGATGGCCTAAGCATCAGTTTTATGGAAGGCTCACTCTTGGTAAGTGCCCCAGACACAAACATGACAAATTTTTCAAAGATGTTGTTAAAGAAACCTGAAAAATCTTGAAATTAGTGTCAAAGACTGGTCAAAATGAACAGAGAATAGGTTTGGTTTGAGAAAGTTTTTGATTGTTGCAATCATTTTGAGGTCAAAAGAGTTGAACGTTTGAAGTTGAAAGGGGCTATTGGGAAAGGTGATGGACACTCGATCCCAGAAGACATTCAATCTGAGCTTGTATGTAACATCTGCAGGAATATTGTTCTATCTTGTGCTAGATTTGTTAAACATTGGAGATCACATGAAAATCTGCAGTCTAATGCCAACTATGTGATTGCCCTTCCTGACAGAAGGGCAGCATACTTAGGTCAGTTTCCTGATAAAACTTACAGGTGTGAAACCAGCCTGCAATGCACGAGGAAAAAGTCACTTTCAAAACTCGTCAAAAGTTTTTTTTCGGTGTCACATATGTAAAAGATCAAATCTGGTTTGCAAAGTCATCTGGGGGCCCATGGCTACTGAGCGCATGACTGAAGAGATGGCAGTTTTTATAATATATAACGTATTACGGCAACTGAATGGCCATCCATTTAGCTTTAATTGATTTCATTCAATATTGACTTATGTTGGTAATCAGATAAAAAAATAAATAAATGGGGTTTTGCTATGATTTGAGTAAGTTACAAAAAACAAAAAAAAAACAAAAAAAAACACATTCTAACAAGCAAGTGAGTTCCCCAGTCCTCTTGAATTTGGATTAATTATTATTCTATTTAGTTAGTTTTCAAGAGGTCAAGTAAATTTCTCGTTTTTATCTAGAATTTTAAAGATAAGAAAAATTAACAGGTGACAAAAGATATCACAGCTGTGTCATGTTAGAAAAAAGAGTTCAGAACAGGCTTTCATATCTAATTGCTTGGTTGGACTATAATCTTGTGACAAAGAGAAGCTATAGCTTATCTATCCTGCAACAGACCCTCTGATCAGATTTACAAAGCTTTTGTGAACACATTTAAAGATTTCAATACAATTAGGCTTTTGATAAGAAATAATTTTTTGGTACATCAACACCTACATGAGAGTCATCTGACAAAGGAGATGTGAAAGAGAGAGGGGGGAAAATAGGTATTGTTTAGTAACATGCCAATAATAAATGTTGATAGGCAAAATGTCTACACTACTAGTTCCATACCCCCCCCCCCCCGTTGTTTTATATCGGCCGGTCTCCAGGCTTTGAGAATAAATTCACATTTAATAAAAGAATAGAAATATTAAAAATTGTCTGTTTTTGGCAGAATCAGTAAGCAATGTTTATTTTATTTTATTTTTTTTTTTTTTTTTTAAATCATTTCACCCAAAACAAGGTGATAAAGCCACTAAAACTGAAGGGGGGGGGGGTTACCGAGAGAACAAAAAAAAAAAAAAAAAAAAAAAAAAAAAAAAACTGAGAAAATGTTGAGAGCAAGGACAATAAAATGATTGAAGGAGACAGAAGATGACAATTGATATTGCATTTAAACTTTTGAAGAATGTAGTTGACAGGAAAGTAAGAAGGAAGAGTTTCATAAGCAAGAAGTGCAAGAAACTATTAGCATAGAATTTATGCCTACACTTAGTAAATTCAATAATATAATGTTGAGACCTAGCTGCCAATCTAGTACTGCACTTAAATTTGTGAAGTTAGTTACCAAAGAGGAAAGCTCATCAGAACAATTGCTATGAAAATAGTTATAGAAAAGACACAAGGAAGCTATATCATCATGTGGGGAAAGTAATTGAAGCTGATTCTTTGATTTTTTTTCAATCTCTAGATACATAGCAGAAGCACCAGATGAGATGTGACAGCAATATTCAATGCACAGACAAATGGTAGACTTATAAAGGTGCAAGATAGATTTTGGTTAAGAGGCTTTTAGCAAACGATTATTTATATTGGAAGTTTCATCCTCATTGGATGAACCAAACCTGGTTTCGTGCCCACAGACAGGTGTAGAAATTACTTACAATACGAGAAAAGCTCAACTGTAATCCAAAGACCATGTTCAATTCTTTTCCTTGGAACCATCTGACAGCGTATGTATTCTGAGCCACAGCTAAAGATTCCCCACCAATTCTAAAAAATTAGAAAAAAAAAAAAAAAAAAATGTTTAAAATAACTATTTTCAAATGTTTACAGAGTTACAAAATATACTAAACAAAATATTTACATTAGAAGGAATGTATCAAGTTTTGGTTTTAAAATCTCATAACTGAACAATTTAAATAAATAAAAAAAAAAAATTTAAATGGTTAGACAAAACGAAAGAGAGTCATTTTATGTATGGGATGTGGCTTAAATAGTCGCCCATCATTTGAACATAAATTTAAAACATACAGATTTTTAAAAATAGTTTCAAATTTTGCTTAAGGCTTCCTAACATTCTTTTGTTTTATGGTTTGCAGTTTAATTAAATATGGCAGTTCAAACAAAATATGACAGTGAAAATGCCTGGTATGAAGAATTGTAAGGGGTAATAAAACAGTTGAATATTTGCAGAAAAACAATGTGGAAACAGTTTCAAGAGGAGCTAATAAACTCATGAAATGAAAATCAAGGAAGAAACTGTTCAGTTCAAAGCATGAGTCATTGGAGACGTCAAGAAGAGGGTGAAGAGAAATCCATGAAGAAATGGGAGGAAGATGACAAAAAGAGCTGGATATTTTGGAAAGATAACTAAAGATGATTTTGAAACAGGATTTGGTCTTAAAACTATATAAGATTCAATGACAATAACTAGCTTCAAGTGCCTCCAAGAAAAAACAGCTTGGCAGAGAGAAGAAAATGTTGGAAGGAATGCAGCATACCACAGAAAATAATCTTTCTTTGGTCAGATGAGACGTTTTTAAATGTGGAAGCTGTGGTCAACTACCAAAATGATAGGGTTTATGCCACTTCACCAAGAAACATTTTCAGAACACACAGCCACTTTAGCACAGAACTAGTACAAGAGACATTTCCATGGATTTTTTGGCAAGTCAATTTGTCCCCCCATCAAATGGACCGTGATGAGACCCCATGTTAAAGAGCAATGTTTCACACATCTCATACTCAAGAAGTGTATCAGACCTGAAAGAATCTCTTGTGATGTTGTGGTATAATTTAAGGGAAGAGTTGGTGAAGGAGTCAAGCACTTCAGTTGAGATGAGATCAAGGGTTATGGTGAAAGCAAGGAGTGGCCATTTTCAAATGTAAAATATTGCTAATAAATATAACAATCAACCTTGTTATATACTGTACATATGAACACTAATGGGTATGTCTCAATCCTCATAAATATGTTGGAGACTGTTGTAAGTGGGGACAATATGCTGCCTGACTGTATTGCCTTTTTCTGAGTAGTAGTAGTGTGTGTGTGTTGGATGATCTTGTGTTTATTTGACAAACTGATAGTGTTTAATTTTTGAGTTCATATAGATCTGTGCATTTTGTTCTTTTCCTTTTTGTTTATTTCCTTTTGTGTATTTTCTACCTTCCCCACAGTTTTAGTTTTCATTATCGTTTGCGTATTTATTTATTTTTGAATTGCTTATTGTCTTTGGTTGTTCACGTTTTTTTTCTTCTATTTTATTTTGTTTGTTAAGAATTTAAAGGAGAAAAAAAAAAAGGAAAAAAAGAAAAAAGGAAACAGTTTATTTATTTGGTCTCGGCCAAAATGGCTGAAGATGAAAATATAAACATTACACCAGTTTCAACAGTGTCACCAGCCAAAAATGCATGGACTGATAATAGTCCAGTTACAAAAGATCCAGCCTATTATGTTAATCAAATGGACAAATTTCAGAATTTGTTTAAGGGAAAGGAATCCCTAACAATACAAGAAGTCCTACAAGCAGTCAACACATGCACAATATCCCTGCACATTCCAATATTAAAACTCGAAACTAATTAGGGGTCAGCAGGGAAGTAATGGGAGATGCATTAAAAGCATTACAAATTAGCCCGAAGGTGCTAACAAGGAGGACTAATGCTTTGTGGGACATCCTCCTACAAACAGAAGACCAAGCCAAACAAAAAATTTGCTGCTCCAGACCGAATACATGGGTACCTGGAGAAATAAAGTGACCATCCATGGGGTGCCAGTGGATATCTGCCCAGATAGGATGGGGGTATTTTTACAAAGTTTGGACAGGTACACGAGGTAAAAATCCTCAAGAGCAAGGATGGCATAGTAATCAGTAATATGGAGATATCTGTCACGGGGGACAGGAAAAATTTCATTGAAATTCCGAACATACTGGTCTGCCATGAGAAGAAAATGTTGGTGGTTGTGGAGGGCCAGAGACCATGTTACTGGGCATGTAGAGCCTCGGGGCACATGGCTAAGGAGTGCCTGGGGAAACAAATACACACTTTACCTCAGCCAGCAACAACAGCAGTGATGACACCAGCAACAGCAGTCGTCATACCGTCAGGAGAGGCAAAGATCAAGGAAGGGAACTGGAAGGGGGTGAGGAGGAGCTGGAAAATGGACAACGTGCCCCCCACTTCAAAACAGAAGCAGCAACCAGCAGAGCAGCAGCAACTACCACCACAGATAAAAGAGAAGCAGCCTCAAAGGGATGTGTAGCAAAAAGAAAAACAGCAGCCATATCAACAACAACGGCAACACCAACAGAAAGAGAAGCAGCAAGCAGACATGCCAATGGAGGTGGACAAAATGCCTCCATCTTGGGCAGAATCTTTGAAAAGATCTAGAGAAGAAGAAGAAGAAGAAAAAGAGGAACCATTGCAAAGGCACTCTGGCTGTGGCAGGGCGGAGAGGGTCACGGACAAAACCAGGTCCCTGCTTTGCCAAGAGAAGCTGAAGAATCGGTAGCAAGAACAAGGAGCCTCTCAGCTTCTCCTTCTCATGTTCCCTCCCCCTCCAATTCTTTCCTTAGTTCTACCTCCACATCCCCTCACACATCCACTTCTTCCCCTCCCCATCCCTCAAGGGAGAAGAAGATAAAGAAACTTTTCTCAGGACCAGACGACATCTACAAAGTGGACAAGGAAGAAGACTTGGTGGATGGGAAGTTGGTTGAAGATCCCCAGAATTTCCCACACGCTCATGCAGTCATCACATGTGTGAGGGATACTGGCAGATACCTCAAGGTATGGAGCTACCTTTTTGAAGCAAAAGAGGCTTATCCCAAAATAAGCATTTTTGAGTTAGACAGATGTCTATTAAAGATAACCAGTTTGAATGTGAAGGGCTTGAGAGATCTGGGTAAGGCAGCCTGCCTACTCCAGGATCTCGTCTTTCGGCATGAATGTCGCCGCAAATGAAGAGACCCACTTTGTTTGCTGCGTTGATGCGTGTGTGCTGTCTAGCGACTTTGTTGTTTATTCAGCATATGGGGATCGGCATGCATTTTGCTGGTGAGGTGGACTCTTGATACAAAGGTGGACCTTGAGCATACCGATGCCAAGGGCCAGTTGAACGTGGCCAATATTGCCGTGAAAAGTGGTTTGTTCAGAGTTGTTGCAGTTTATGCACCCAATGACCAGGAGGAGCAGGTCTCGTTTTTTCAGTATTTTTTTTTCCTATTTGAAGAATAATTTCATATCAATGAAATCAACTTGTATCCATGCAAGGTCAGGTGAGAAAATGTAAACATCAAGTTATGATTGCGTTCACAGCAATGGAATGTACTATTATCATGTTATTGTACTGTTATTAGCAGTATTTTGTGATTGTCTATGAAGTACAAGTGAATGGCCATCAGTACACCAGGCTGTTTGTAACTGCTAAGTTATAGTAAAAGAAGAGGGAGAAGAATCAGTATTTGCAACAGATCACATGATGAAATAAACAAATTGATGGTTTTCCCTTTTTTTTTGGGGGGGGGTAGAAGGAACATGATATAGAATAAGTTTTGTTATTTCATTTATTTTGAATTTCTAATGATACATTAAGTAACAACATCTTTATATAATCAATAAGCAGTCATCTTATACTACAGGTATAGGATAAATTCATGAAAATTTGCTGTTTTTTGACCTCATCCTATCTAAAGGTCATCTTATACACAGAAATATACGATATATGTTGCACCCAGAATTGTAATTTACTGTGTTAATAAATGAGCTCAGTGTCTCCACTTTGTTTCTTGATTAGATGTCTCCGTTTTTAAAGTGGAATGTAAATGAAGGAAATTTATAAATCCTGATAAAAGTGACAGATCCATAGCGTTAGTACACCATGGACAGATCCAATTTTTTTCTCCTGAATGATAGGACACCAAAATGTGATCTTGATGGTCATAACTATAATGGAGATGCCTTTTAAGACTTGTTCAGATAATTGAACATTTTCAGTTTTGTTGTTAGTCTAATTTTTTGGCATATCCATCATAGCTTCTTTAATAAAATTTGATAATGCAGGATTAACACTTTGAAAAATTAAAAGAAAAAGTAAGAGATATCAAAATTTTTCACTAAACTTAAGTGTAGATAGGGTGAGGAAAAAAATAGATACTTACCCAAAAACAAATCTTCCAAGATCCATTAACCAAATGAGATTAAACAATGCACCAAGAGAGAAAATAACCTGCAGAAGAAAAATTGTTTTTTTTTTATTTTTAATTTGTTAAATATTCATTAATCAATAAATAATAATTTCTACAATTTATCAGGTGAAAAAAAAAAAAAATTGCCATGATTGCTTACTTTCACAATGTAAATTTAGTTTTTAACAAAAAATAACCAAATAACATGCAAAAACTTATTGAGAAAGTCACCTCATCTTTGTTTTTAGAAAATCTCAGATCTATTCTTCATCCTTCCTCAAATATTGAGTGTAATATATTTCTATTCAGATGCAACAAAATTCATTTGAGAAAGTCAAAGTATAAATCAGGAAAAGATAATCCAAATGTACAGAATATGAAATGTTAGAATTCACATGGAAACAAGAAAATGGATCACAAGAATCTCTATGTCAAAATCTAAGTCGATCATATTTCAAGTGATAGTATCTTCACAGCAAGAAATGATTTTTTTTAATCTTATTCAACGTCAGCTTATATACCTTAAAAAAAAAAAAAAAAAAAAATCTTGTATTTTAGGTTGTATATAATCCACTATTTTGCTATGATAGATTAATTTATTCTTGATTACTCTACCATCATCAAACAAAATTTACCAAAAGTAGATTGTTGTAATTACCATGTTTAGGAAATATGTATCAGTTTGTTCTGTCTTTGTTGCTTATCCATCTCTTCTACTTCTTGACCCAAGGATTAAACTCAACTGGCAGGATCCAAATGGCTTTTATACAAGAATTCAATCTACTGTGCCTTACAGGTTTTAATTTTGGAACTTTAAACCAATGTTCAATACTAAAGTGGTAGAATCTTTGAATATTTTCTTAATCAGAGGCTACTAGATGGTACTCATCTCTATGCTAGGTCTGCTTGTGAGGTTTGTACATGGATTCTTTCAGCCCTCTTCTCTCCCTCTATTGTCTTGACTATCACAGAGGTTGATGCCCATCCTTTACCTTCTGAACATGATCAGCCATGCTTGATTTCAATGTATCTCTCCAGACTACAGACTTGTGATGTTCCTTCACTCTTACTTTTAGTGTATAACTAGTCTTTTCTTTGTATTTCTTATCATAGATTTATGGAATGGAATCTTGGTCATTTTCTTTTTCAGGGTCAAGAAAAAGATATCTCTGAATGGCTGAACTGCTTTTTAATACAGTCCTCATACTGTATAGATAGCAAATCTTTTCAGATGCACCCACCTATGTATAACAACCAAGATGAGGATACTAGTCTAAATATAAAGGCATACAATGATAAAAAATTTTTATTAAATTTTCTACACAAATTGAAGTGGGCCCCTAAGATAGATTGCAAAAATGTAATTTTTTTTCAGAGTTTGAAAAATCAAATGCAATATTTGATAAGCCTTTAAAAAAAAAAAAAAAAAAAAAAAATCAAAGATGATTCCTTGCCATCATGAATTTCCGATATATAGATTTTGATATCAGAATTGGTTCCAGAAAACTATGTCCTTTATTACAAAAGGTTACTGAAAAGTTCTCAGCCTGAACCATTTCCTAAAATCTGATCAAACATCAGTTTCACCTCCTCACATTTATTTTCATCCAATTGGATAAACTGACAAGTAGAATGTAAATTTAGCATAAGTGAAGAGTTGAGGAAAAAAAAAAAAAAAAAAAATTAAAATGCCAAACTTCATATCTGTGAAGTGATCAGATGTACATACCTGGCCAACAGTGACAAAACAACTGAAGATGACTGCTCCCAATCGGACACCAAAAACCCTGTCAATAAGAAACCCACCAAAAAAACAGAGGATAACATTTGGCCAGGAGTACCACATGTAGAAACTCATGAATTCTGATTCTTTAAGTCTTAGATCTCTGGTCATGTCATCTTGGAGAGCAGCAGGGTTGTCGTAGCAGAAATAACTGCCTGAAAACAAAAAAAAAAATTCAGTCATACTTTGTGAAAGAAGAAAAATAACTTTGGGGGTGGGGTAATCTATATTCTTAAAAATCTTTATCCTACACTGTGTGTGACTTTGCATACATGTATATAAATGTCTGTTACGCATGAGCGATTTACATGCACCTGTGACATTTAATGTTTTTTTAACACACACGCACGCATTTGAAATAACATTAGAATAATACATTACGCTTTCATCCAGTCTGTACAACCTGTCCTGGGCTGAACAATAAAAATCAAAATTGGAATTAGGAGGAGGGGAAGGAACAAACAAAATATTTATTAATAGCTTCATATCTGGCCACTTGTCTCTTTGCTCACATGTGCATATATATGGGTGAAAGGAAAATGTATTGGTATTTGGAAACAGTTTACAGAGTCCAACAGAAAGTCAATAGTCCATGTGATATGAAAACCAATTAATCTATGATCTTTTTATTCTATTAATAGTCTCATAAAAACTGAAGTCAAGAATAAGTGCAATGACAAAAAAAAAAAAAATCTCAACACCAGAATCATTTAGCAAAATGAAAGACAGGAGAAAATATTGTTTTTGTTTTGTTTTCCATTACTAACCACTGAATCCCCCCTACCCCCACATGCAATTTATACTGACCAAATATGAAACATTCAACTTTTCTGAATTTAAATCATTGCAGAAAATTACTGAAGGTAGGTGTGTGTGTGTGTGTGTAAGGGTATATCAAAACAAGTGAACAATGAATGGTAGGTAATAACACTTTCAAATACAATTTGAGGCCAAAATACAATTGTTTAAACACCTGTCCCCAATATCTCATTATTAGAATTTGCTGTGTCTCTATGGATCTTGACAATAAAGTGAACCAAATTTTTGGCATATTTGTTTTGTACATTCTACCTGTGGTATTGCACGTTATATGAACAGCTTGTTTATATACATATAAGCAACAATAGCCATTTTTGTGAAGAGAAAAAAAAAAAAAAAAAAAAAAAAGAAGAGAGATTTGCATTTACCATAAAATGTTGTAAGAAAAATAGTGACAATTAGAGCAGTATAAGTTTAAACATTTTTAAATCTGTTTATTTCATATCTGGCAAGAGTAAATGGATGTTTGTGTGTTTTAACCCTGGTGAAGAATCCAATGGAGATGTTAGAGATGCCTGAAATATTTCTTGTATTTAGTGTAAAATAAAGCTTCTTAAATTTTTTTTTTTTTTTCATTTAAGGTTATTTTTGGCTATGTCATGTCAAAAAGCATTTCATTTTTAAATAATGATTAGTTATTTTTTTTTAAATAAATTCAAGAAACAAACTCCATTACTAAATAAAATTAGTGACTATTTTTATGAACAAAACTTCAAAAAATTTCAAAGTTAAGATTTGTTAGATTTTCAAAATTATAAAAAAAAAAAAAAAAAAAAAAAAAGTAATCAACATTACTTTTCTTTACTTTCAAGCTGTGATCTAAATGTAGTTACTGCATTTAAAGTAGAAAATAGCTTTGTTTGAATAAGTAATTTAGTAAATGATCAAAAACAATTTTTTTTTTATAAAGACTGCAAGAGACCAGATTGGAAATGAAGTTATTTTTAAGACTGTTCACGCAAACTAGTTATCGTAATTAAGCATGAATCTTAAATTTGGTAAAATATTTACAAGTTGGTCAATAGAAATAATAAAGCCACAATTATTTGCTTCTTATTTTCTAGAATTTGTATAAAACAAACAGGCAACCAACCTTAGCAGTTTGATTTTCATGGTCCTCAGTAGACACACATTACACACTACAGAAGGATGCCGAGAATAATGTAGAATAAACAGAGTGTGACAATGAAGTTTCAGAGAAAATGGAAACAAAAGGATAATTATACTAATCAGAGAGAGAGAGAGAGAGAGAAAATTTCTAGGGTATATAATGAGGAAAGAGGGTCTGGAGAATTTGATACTCACAGGCAAGAAGGCCAGAGGAAACAATGCATAACCTACCTAGCAAGGTTGAATAAATGGATGATGGCAACAAAGGTTAGGAGAGAGAACAAAAAGACAAAATGAATAAATTTTGTCTGAGCTACAAATAGGAAAACATGGAGAGCCATGATTACCATGAAGGGACACGGCACATAGAAGAAGAATGCAAGTGAAAAGTGAGTTACCCTCTTAAGCCCTTGATACTTACTGAATATTCTACAAGTGCAGGACTGTAAAAAAAAAAAAAAAAAGTGGGTCTACTGCATGGAAAAATAAGAATCAACAATTATTCTCTCAAGTCTTATTTTCTTTTTGGTGACAATTCAAAATAGGATTGAGAGTAATTTCTATAACAGGAATTTGGTGACTCTGGGGGGGTTAGGCATGTCAGTCTCAGCCCAAGTGAGTCAACATTCAAGTATATCTATGTTTCAAAGCAACAATTTTTCATAGTGCATTGTTTTTATTATAGACTTCATCTGGATCCAAAATTGTTTTAACTCTGCCTCAAAATATTAACTGAAATACGTTTTGTTGATTTTATTCATAATAAAGAAAGAAAGAAAGAAAACAAAAACAAAGAAAGGAGGTAAGTAAAAATGGAATGGAATAAAATTAATGCGCCTAGTCAGGCTATGTAGATCTAAGCCTAAAACTGGAGATATAATAGGCAACATATTTCTTGCTTTAATTTTTATAAATAATCTTTTTAAAATCTCTAATGACTTGTATGCCCTGTTTTTCAAAGAACACATTTTTATTTCAATTTATTGTTTTAAAAAGTTCATTTAAAATAACTTATTCCATACAGCATAAGGTTCAATAGCAGGATGTATTTTTTGATAAAGGGCAAATTAAATTTAGCCTACCTTTAAATTTGGTAAAAGATTAAAGTGGCAGTCTTAACTCATTGACTGGAGGGTTGGGTGAGGTGTGTGACTGGGGTAGTGTTGAAGAAACATGATATAAGTTAATAGTCAGTTATGTGCCACGCGTGATACATGATCGCCTAAGCACGTATCTTTCGATACATGACCGACGTTGCAGATTTTTCACACCACAGGTTGCTACTTCCATCTGCAGTAGACCAGTTGCCATCCAAGACTATAGAACCTGGTCTGTCCTGCTATTTACCCATAACTTGGGGGGGAGGTTAGAAAAAGAGGATTCATACCTTTCCCAAGGGTATTATCATGTAAATGAATGTAATGGATCTGACAAATTTGAACGCAGCTCCCTGATTACTCAATCTGAGACGCTATCCATTACTCCACTGTGCCTCCTCAGTACTAATTGTAAACATACAATAAAATTCACAAAGAGATACATAAACACACTAACACAGACAAATGCACACTCAATCTCTTAAATAAAGATGTCATTAAAAAAATGGCTTCGTCTTCATTATTTTTTTTCTTAAAAGTCTGGAAAATAAATATTTATTTTTATAAAATTATTACAATATTAAAATTCCAAAATGTGTTTTTTAATTTTATGCATAGAGATTTTTAAAAACTATATATTTTAATTAGATTAAAGGAATCATTTTAGCATCTAAGTTATACCAATAATATATTTTGTTAAAGATTGTAATGAGCATGACAAACATTGATGACCTTTACTAAATTACTTATTCAAACAAAGCTATAAGTTGGCACTAAGGTGTGTGTGTGTGTGTAATTGACCACAATTTTTTAATTTATGTTGGTCAATGACCAAGATGCATCTGTGATAAGCCGATACCAATTGTTTTTTGGAAGACAGGTCAATGTGATTGTGCTTATAAATTTATATTGATTTATTGAACAAGATAAAACAAAAATGGCCATTGAAAAAAGAAAAATTAACTGTCTCAGCCAATTAATGGGATGGGGACAGAACATACTACCAATTCTAATAAGGATGTGAAAAAGCAAATACATTTAAGAGAGCTAGAAAGAAAAAATAAATAAATAAAAAGAGAACAAAAACAAAGTGGGTGTAAAGTGGGAGCACATGACAGTTCCATTTTTTGACAGTCAAAGAAACGTTAAATTTAAACAAGAGTTGAGGAGTTTACAAATAAAATTCTTCAGAATATTTAACAGGTTTTTTTTTTAACTATAAATTTGGCTAAAGTTTCTGTATTTGATTATAATTAATATTGTGTTGTTAATCATTTTTTAGCCATTTCTTTATTAAACAATTGTTTAGTTTATAGAAAAATTCAAAATTATATAAAATTCTTAACAGAATACATTTCTTCTGCAACTCTTAATGAGTGAAAATCAATCAGTAACATTTAAAAATATCTTCCTCAACAACTACTTCCATTTGTTAGGATTTCTTGTGTAGATAAAGATAAGAGGGGAAAAAGAGAATATCATTAATTTGTCTGTCTATACTGAGATAGTATGCTGAAATTCAACTATTAGTAAGAAAGACATTAGTAATTTTGATGTCTTAATTTTGGGTCGGTAGCTCCAACCACTTTTTCTTTTAAAACATTTAGAGCCTCAAAAAGTAATTTTCTATAAAAAAATTCAAATAGAAAGAAAACTTAATTTTAAGTTTTTTTTTTTTTCAAGACATAATACTTAAGTGGGATTGATTTGTTTCTTTTTTATGGTTTATTAATGCTCTGTGGATTATTTAAAGTCAAAACCCATCATGGTGAATTTTTAAGTGTAGCTTAGATATGGTGCAAGTTGAAAGTGTGGAGCACCCAGTGTGAGGATCAAACTCGCTACTCTGTCAAACTCTAGCAAGACAGGTTTTTATAAACATTATACTATGTCAAAATACCCAACAAAAACCCATTTGAATTGTAACATTTTTTTTGGCATGTGAATATTGCATTAACAATTTTTTAAGAATTTTTTCAGATTGAAGTCCTACTATTTGACTCATAGCTGGGGGAGATTGATTCATACCTTTTCTAGGGATATTTGTGTGTAAGTGTGTAGTAAAAAGAAAGAATTACTTTTAGTTTTATATTTAAATGATTATTATTGATAAACAATTGATCTAAATG